TAATAAAGCACGGTTATGCATAATAAATTGTATGCATAATATTCACTATCACTGTATGAGGTAAGAATCAACAGCTTTTTATCACATTTACACAACACTTTATGAATACAAGTCATGAACAAATCTTAAATATGGCAGGGGGTGGGTTTTCTTTTTTTGTTTTGATTTTGAGCAGCAAATTTGGAGTTACATATTGGTGCTCACCAGGAATGCATAGGCAAAATTGCACAAATTTTCACTTGAAAGAATAGTGGCGATCTTGGGATTTTTTTCTGTTCAATTTTCAAACTGTGTAAATTTAATACACTTCATCTTCAGCATGTTTAGTGCCACTTTTGTAAGTAACCACGCCCCCGTCCAGGCCACGCCCCTTCCGCTTTTTTCATCACTCGCCATTGCCATGTATGGGCTATGCAAGTCACTTGCTTTGAAAATGACACTTCAAAAAAAAAAAAAATGGACGGGAAATAATGGCGTGTGCAGTGGCTGTGGTCTGCCAAGGTCAGTGCTCATCTAGTTTGTAGTGATACCAAAAAAAAAAAAAAAAATTTATCCGCATAAATGCATCTAGATCGACAAACTTTTACCTCAGTGGGCACATTTTCAAATGTACCGGTCAAACGGGCAGCACTCAAGGATGTTGAGAGGGCGTTTGCTCAAAGAGGAGATGCGTCAATATAATGCGATGATATCCTTTTACCAGAACCAATGTTGTTCCCGCCACCTGAAATAAGTACTCATCATTTTGCTCCCGCCATACTATGATTTAAAAAGAAAGAAACGTAATGTTCATTCATGCATGCTTTTTTTTTTTTTTTAAAGCTGATCCTGTTCAGGCTCACGGGGAGCCGCAGTTCATAGTTCCACCTTAAAAAACAGTCATGTTAATGTGATGCGACACTAACAAATTCAAATCATGTCACCTTCGTTCGTGTTCTATTTTAATGGCGTTAAACAAGACTGTTGGACAGCGACAACAAATAGAAGTGAATGGATAATACAGTTAACCCAAACTATTCAAGGGGGATTGGGACCAGGTCCACCCATGGGAAGCAAAAGGTCACCTATCATTGACTGGGGGAATGGGGAAGCGCAAAAACAATGAAAAAGAGAGAGAGAGAAAAAAAAAATTGCGAATATGCAGATGCCAAACCACAAGCACGCTGGGGTCCAATGTAATTAATTACAGTCGCTATCCTACTCAAACCCGAGTTTTCTTCCAGGAGGCTGTTTCCATCTTGCGCAACTTGCAGTTGTTTTTAGGTTGTTGCCATTTTTCTGTCACTTTTTTGGCAACGTTGGGACCGGTCTTACCTCAAAAGGGCTTCTTGCATCCCCTGAAAAATGAGGCCAAGCGTTGCTCTGCTCACAAGATGCAGAACAAGACATTTCACAAACAGCTAGCGCACAAGCTAACGTGTTAGCATGCGGACACCGTGGGGATGGCGCGAGATGGATTTGCCGGACTTGAACATGTGGAAGCATTCTGATCAAAACTTGAAATTACACAGCAGTCTGTTTGTGTGTCTCATCTATATGAATGTTCACATCTCAAATGCTCCTAAAGTGCAACCGGGGGAAGATAAAAGTCCTTTGAATTGACTGAATTCAAACATGCACATTGGTTGCACATAACTGAAGTGAGTGAAATGTCATTTCTGAGAAGAGGTGAAAGTGATGTCAGTTAACCACATTTCAATCATGTGCAACTGAAAAAATATTTGAAAAGCAAGTGAGTGCAATTATCACCTCTGTCTTTGCTATCCTTGTGCAAGTCACGAAACCCCTGACCATTACTGCTAAGGACTGCTAAGGACGAAGACGCAAAAGAGTGAGAGAGTTCATGACTGGCATGTCATCGTTTCAACAGCAGCTGACAGGCAGGCTGCGAGCGCAGAGATGACGCTGGTGTGGGGAGGCGAGGGGCCCCCGCAGCTTGGCTCTGGGCTCAAAATGCGTCACACCGATTCTGACTGCGCGTCTGTGCGTTTGATGGTGCCTGAATCGGCCTGAAAGCTAAATCGGCCTGTGTCTGTGTGTGTGTGTGGTATGTGTGTGCATGTGCGCTCATTGTCGGTCTTTTTATTTCCATTTACCACCCACTTGTTGACGTTTCATTACATTTCCACTCGCCACACACGACATGCATTTATGCATTCAGAGTTTAACTGAGGGCGGTACCGTGGATGAGTGGCTATCGCGTTGATCAGATGCAAAATTGTAACAAATGTGTTGACCGGTGTGATTACCGCTTACTTCCCTGTTGTCGTTGCCTAGTTTTGGATCCTGGGCAGTGTCAGTAAAATCCATCCCTTCCATCCATTTCCTATACGTACGCGACCGTTTCCCCTCGCATTCACGCCACCACAGAGTGACAACTTAACCGACGCTGCATCAAGTACCACACCATCAGTTAGCCACGTGCAACAGACAGTTCAGAAAAATGGATTGGAAATGTCCGTTGGGACCCAGCAGCTTGAATTCAGCAACTACTGCTTCTCAATGTGAGACGCATCATGACAAGGAAATCACTTGGACGATGTGAAGTCACAACTGTCTAAAGACGTCATTACTCCTGCTAGCTGGTGTCAAATGACTTCTGTATTGACAGATGTCGTGCACACAACACCACGTTCTGATGACACACCCGCTCCATACACAGTCATGGGACGGCAGTTGAAGTGCATTCGGGTCGACACCGGGTGTCACATGTGCTGTGGCGCAGATAAATACAGCACCCGGGGGGATTACACCAGAGCACAGGGTAATTACACCATCCTGCGTGTGTAGGCGTGCGTGGGAGTCCTCTACAGCCCTGGTGGAGGTATTCGCATGCTGAGCGAACGCCCCTGCCTGTTCTTCAAACCGGCTAGACGCAATCTACTCATACACACAGCGAGTGCAAAGCCCTTTGGCCTTTAGAGGGCAGGCGAAGACAAGGAATATAAAAGCAGGAGTGGAGGAGGGGGGGGGGGTTAAATTTGGCGTAAAAAGAGGCAGAGTGGAAGGCAAAGAAGATGCAGTGCTGCCTCTTTGTGTCTCTGGTCTGAGGAGACGCTGCTATCTCCCTTCCCTTCTCACCGCCTGCAAACGGAGCCAGGATGAGTGGGTCAACTGTCAACCAGGAGATGCTGGCTATATAGCACCAAAACACCAAGGCCAGCCGAGTTAACCACAATTGCGGTTCATTGAGAGGCATCATGTCCCGTACAAAGCGTGCCAATCTTTTCCTATAATGTCTCACAAGATTCATTTTTCTTTGCACAATCTCTCAAAATCATCCAGCAACCCGGCAGGTCTTCTCCTCTGCGCTCTACTCGTTAGTCCCCTCCACGGGTTTTCAATGGGGTTGAGGTCTGGGGACTGAGATGGCCATGGGAGGACCTTGATTTTGCGTCTGGTGAACCCATTCAATATGAGAGTATGCATCTGTCATTCATTTTGAAGCTTTTAACATATTTTTGACCAGGGTTGCGAAAAAGTGCACCAGAAATTGCCCATCCGTGCTCAAGAAAAAGCACTAAAGAAATTTGAAGTTCCCAGCCGCCGATTTCTATTTCGAAGTAGACTTTTGAAACTCGGTGGCCCACCGTCATTGCTATTATTACCACTGCTTGTTTTCCACTCGTTAAGCCACATTAATGGCTCATCGTCAAAAATTACTGTACCCTGTTCATTTTTGAGGACTTTTCAACACTACCAAGGTTATGGAAAGCAAGCGTACCAGTAACACAGAGTCTCTTCACTGGCTTTTTAAGAAGCCTTTGACATTGTGAAAGGCAAAGTCAAACTTGTGAATTATCTTTCCGTGGATTCTTCCACTTTGTACACTATCCTCACCGTGCTCCGCGCTCTCGCTCGTGCGTTGTGATCATTTGGAGGTGAGCTCGGGGTGGCCTTTGGAACTAGAACAATCAAAAGCGCAAAAGCCTCCACACACTGCAGGATGTACTCAGCTTGTCACTGACACAAGGCTTCATTCATACATACTACACCAGACGTTCCAAAAGGTTGTGAAAAACACCCATTATCGAGTCAACTCAAAAACTACCTCACTAACCCCCCCAGGAAGGAATATGAACTTTATTTGCAGATCAAATAGAAAATCCCGTATTTTTATCGTTATCTAATAAAGTAATATTTGGTCACTTTGTGTGTATTTTTTTTTTTTTTAACAACACAATTTTTCTTTTCCTAATAAGCCAAATTTCAGGTCATTTGGCCTTTGTGAGGGCATACAGTTAAATTAATGATGGCTTCTCACAAGCGGCATTCATTTCAAGTCTGGACGCAGAGAGGTGAAGCACGACATCAATCTTACGTAATCGGGCTTTACTGTTTTGCCTTGGCAAAGGTCTGTGCTCGACTGAGCTGATCGGGAAGGAAAACAGAGAAAGTGGCTTGTTAATTTCAGTCGTGTTGCTTGGCCTTGGTGGACGTCTACTATTGTTCTGTTTGGGATCTTTATTATCCTCGTATGATTTTTCTATTGGTAATTGGTAAGACACAAATGATGATGAACGCCAAAGACAATTGAGAATAGCACATCGTATGCTCGCTTTCTAATTTGTACGAAAAAAAGTGACCCACACCCATACGGGGACCTTCTGAAATAAAAGACTGGCTTATTTATACGAAGACATAAAAATAGCTTACTTGGCCTCTATCGAGCTTTTCTTTGCAGTACCCAGTGGCCTTTGTGTTAGGACACATTACGCATGGGTGTGTTTGCACGTACTGGAATTAACACAATCAACGGCTTGTAAAACCTTGAACCCCCCCCCCCCCCAAAATCTACAAACTATTGCTGTTTTCTTTTGATTTTTACATCTCCATAAACACGTATGCAAGCACTGGTTTCCCCAAGAAGGGGTCTCACCCTCCTCATGTAGAGTGGAGGTTAACGACAAAGGCAGACTTGGAGAGTGGTCCCGTTTCAGTCTTGACAGGCACCCAACAAACGCACAAAGACCGATTTTGAGGGAGGCGGTCGGAGAATATTTTGCAGTTCATTTGTGACTCTGAAGCAGGAAACGTGAAGACACGACTGAAACCGCGAGCACGCTCTCACCTCTCTAATAGCAAGCCGAACTCAGTTCGACACCCACTGGGAAATAACGGCAGTGTGCAATGAACTCTCTTTAACATGTTGACAGTGATGAGACCCGTGTGTGTATGTGCGTGTATTTGTCCAATGCACTTTGTGTGCAGTGCGACTGTGTTTCAAGGGTGACTTTCTCCTGCTGTGACTGCTGCTGTGAGGGGGTATCAGAGATTATAAAAGTCCTCCAGAAAAAAAAAAAAGTTGCTGGATTGGGATGGGAAGATAACCTTTGAATGTTCTGAATATTACGTCACTGTCATAGTAGATATGAATTAAGCTGCCCAAAGTAGGCATCTTGGTGCCAATGAACTACGTTCAAGTAAAAGGAAGAGCAGCTTAGTCATTTAGTCAGGAAACAGGCCTGTCTAACTGAAAAGTAAGCCCTACTTTATTGTATTTGCCACCATACAGTCAAGTTCCAGACCCTTGGTGTATGTAAACATCGGAGCACAACTAGGAAAGGCAATCATTAACCCTTTTAAGAGGCAGTGTCATTATTTTTGTTTTTGAAATGCAAACAAGTAGAAGGTCAACCTGATTCAATGAGTTTTGTACCGCCATGCAAAGGGGCGAGGGACCCCACAAGCCAATATAGGGCAGGGGGACGATGGCTCAATGCCGCTTTATTTCCCCATTGCCTTTTTCCTCATTGACATGCCCTCTGACTGGGTGCGTGTCTGAACTGCACAATACTTGGGTCAATTTCCATTCCAATCAGGAAAAACTGCAATGTGTAAATAGGGCTGCCAACGAAAGAGGCACCACACACTCAAGACCATCTCATTTGCATGCATGCATGCACGCTAAACCGGACATGGGCAGTCTTATCGCGATAATTTTTGATCATTAATTAGTCTAGGTTTTTGTAGATACGCAAATATAAGCACCAAAATACGGGACGTGTAAATGCCTTCATGCCACGCGCACGCGCACGCACACACACACACACACACACACACACACACACACACACACACACACACACACACACACACACACACAGGTCATGTGGGGTGGCCTTGGGCAATGGGAACACCAAGGGAGGGGAGTGTGTGGGTTAGCCTTGCCCTCAGCCGTGGCATCCTTTCCCTGCCAGCTCCACAAGCCTGGAGGGACCCACCCCACCACGCACACACACAGGCCAAGGCCTCCGAGAAGACAGGCTGACAAAGGGGGTGAGATCACTCCTAAAGAAGTCTTTGTTGGCGTGCCAGTGTCAGTGTTGCCCTCTCTGGCCTGAGCCAAACCATGCCAGTTTGGCTCAGCCTGTCTACATGGAAACAAGGATGACAGAGTGAATGATGCACATGGTGGAAAAAACAAAAAACAAAAAACAAAACAACGTATAGTTCCAGGAGCCTCAAGCAGGCACTAGGAAAAATGGGAACATACGTCGAAAGGGCATCTGGACCACTAGTCAAGTTTCGATCAGGAGACAGTGTGTGTGTCTCCATGGAAAATTATCAAAAAGAAGTCTTAATCCCCCATCTCCATCAAAGGCAATGAATGTTGCGAGCTGGTCAGGGTTCGTTCAAGGTGGCAAATGTTTGCCAAACGGTCACCGAACGTTCCCTTATACTTTTTTGTCGCAAGGACATTTTTATGAAAGTGCGAGTAGAAAACAAAAAATAAATAAATAAATAAAATTGTTAGGCAAACGTTTTGCAAACATTTACAGCCTTGAGCAGACTGACGAGAACGGGCATTTTTCTACCTTAACCAACAGTCGCAAGTGTTCACCACTCAGTGGGGTAAGGGGCATTATGTATGTGCATGGAACCACCACCAAAAACACCACAACAAAACAACAGTAACCAGGTCGGGTATGCTCCCTCAAGCCAAGACTTAAAGAAAGTACATCAGTCAAAGATGGCCATGCCAACAAGCTGTAATTTAGCCAAAAAAAAAAAAAAAGCCCACTAGAGACGTTAAGAATCTGCAGTCATGCAGGCCGCCTCCTCAAAAGCCGCTAGACAAGAAGGCCATCAAGAGCGAGGGAAAAAGTAGACAGCCAGGAGACAAGTTGAATGGAGAAGCCTGCAGCTCATTTCCAACTGAAGCTATTCTCCTCATCGCTTGTTTTTCCATTTCTTTTTTTGTTTTAAAGCTGCGTCCCTGTGAGGAGACCTGACCTACAGCATGCCAGACGTCTGCAACCAGCACACATGTAAGCACATACACACGCACGTGTGCGCGCGCACACGCACACACCTCATCTGTAGCTCTAATTTTACACATAGCAGGCGCTGCTTCTTCCTCTGACCTCTTTTAATTCCCTCCAACTCCTCGTTTCACAGGAAGAGCGGGAAAACAAAGTTAACAGAGAGGGCTTTGTTTTCTCTCCGGGACCAAATAATCCCAGTCTAATTTATTTTTTTGAGGACGGAGCATGTATTTCTGTTGATGGGGAAAGTCACATAAAATTAAGTATAATTAGTCAAAGCATGAAGATGCAGAGGTGAGTGTAATCTTAAATGACAATACAGTTAAGCCTTGAACTGTAAACACTGACTTACTGGTATTTATCGTGCAATGTTGCATCGGTTGGATAATGTTATTTAATACTTTTGAAAGGCAGATTTCAAGATTGTCATTTGTAAGGATAATAAAGGCCATTAAAAAAAAAATCAAATATGAGACATTTCGAGTGTATTGATACTGTCTCACCATGTTCACACATACTGTAGTTTGTCTTATAGAAAAGTCCATTTAAAACATACGATGGAGCCTGACTTGCTTTCCCGCGCGAGCCGCATTACATCTTTGAAAGAAAATGTGTGGACGATTCATAATTCACGTACTATGTGTGAACAGCACTGATGGAAAATTCTTACCTCTCTAGCAACCTTGACTACAGAGTTGCTGCCAGCGCTAGTTCGGTATCAATCTTCTAGCCACTGGTGCAACCTGCGTAAAGCCAATCCAGTTTGGCTTTACGTGGGCAGCAAACCATTTACAATACAATTGGCTTTGCTGATAACTTCGGATGCAGCATTTCATCTGCCAATAAGCTCAGCTGTGTTTGTTGGCCACATCACTTCAAAGCTTGTTTTAGTTACAGCAGCGGTGACTCGCAGCCAACTGCCACAGTAAATCATTAACTAAATGGCCAATTCCAAAGGATTGGCACTCTTGGCATCTTACCGGCCAGACAAGTGTTTTATTTCAACATTATATGAGTCCTTCAGTGAAATGGGGATTCTATTTGATGACCGCATAGCAGATGGAAAACATGAGGACATTCAACAAAAAGTTAACTAAAATCTAATATACGATATAGTAATATCAATCACACCTACATATAACTGCAGCGACTGATGTTCAGACACAAAGGATGCCATCAAAGAATCAATTCCTGTTCAGACCACATCAACTTTGGGACATTTGAAGCAGTACCTGCTGCGAGAAACTTTTTGTGATCAACTACACCTCTTTTGTGAGGTTGACCCACCTGCGGCCTCCAGAAGCATTTTGGCGATGTCCATGTGTCCGTTGAGCAGGGCATCGTGCAGAGGGCTGACCCCCTCCACCACACAATTAATGACAGGGGGAGGCCGGTGATGTAACAAAGCCTCCACGCATGCAGTGCTGCCATTGTTACATGCTTCATGCAAAGGTGTCCAGCCGACGTGGTCTAGATGGCAGAAAAAAAATTACGCTTAAACAATGAGATTTAAAAAAAAAAAAAAAATCATAATAACTTTTGCAGGTGAAGTGTAAAATCAAACCATTCAAATGACATTTACAAGGGCTCCTTGATTTACGGCAGTTACAGTCCAACCCAAATGCACCACAGCCATAAACCTAAGCCAGTTAATTAAGTATTAAAAGTCATTATTTAGAGTTAATATTTGGATGAAAAACACTTCCAAGGCGATAAATATGAAATAAATAAACACACCCTCCCTCAATGTTAGCTTGGATTTTTCAGCTTCTGACCGTGTCTTAGCTTCTATGGAATACAAATCAATAGTAGTAAACGACAAATAAATGTAAATTACACCTCAATACAGTTTTCTTAATTGTAAGTGTAGTTTTTGAAGACTCGGGGCAAGAGAGGAGAGAAGCAGCTGAGTTAAAAACGAGGTTAGCAGATATTTGGCCGAAATGTCAACAAAATGAGGAGAAAACTGGCAGAAGATGGTGGCTTTATGGGCAATTATGTGCTAACCAGAAAAATATCTTTCCGCTGACTGATCTGTTTGTTGCCATTGCAACAACACAACTGAAAAAATTAGACGAGAATCATGTCCAAAGCGTTGTGTGAGTTACATATAGGTTGATAGACATTTTGCAAGTTTCACAAATCGGAACCATTTATAATAAACAAATTGAGGATTTATGAGTCCTAAAACAAAACCTCTCGCCTACTCGTGCACCAACTTGCATGGGCCTCTTTTTGCCAGATAAATTGGAGCTTAGCTCTTCCATAAACCCCCTATTGAGAACCTAGTTCATTTTTTGCTATTAAAGTCGATTACAAAATAGCAGAAACCTTTCAAAAGAGCGCAACCATTCCATAAATGAGGATTAAATGTATTCATGTTTGACCTAAGCAGACAAAAGAAAGTCATTACCAAACACTAACCACCGAAGAGAGCAGAATCTATAAAGCCGTGCCTCCGAACGGCTCACTGTTAAGGACACACCCTTTACATTTCAGCAAAAGGTTAGCATCAACGATGACGCAGTCCGTACGTTTAATTCCTCCTTTTTTGCCTTCCCTACTGTGTTAATACGCCCTGGTGGGGGGTCGATGCTGAGACCGAAGGCGAATGCGAGAAAGAAACTCTTACCTTGAACATTGACGTCGATGCCAGGGCATGCCAGAATGTGAAGTACCGTTTCCACTTGATTCCTCTTGCATGCTCTGTGGAGGAGGGTCTCGCCTTCGATCAGGATACACACACACACACACACACACACACACACACACACACACACACACCCAAAGGACGAGAAGGGACGAGAAGAGAGAAAACCCAAAGTTATGATGCGGCCATTATTCCCGTCCACAAGGTAAATGAAATAATGCGGACATTTTCCTAGCGACCCCCCCGCCCCCAAAAAACAGAAGAGCCGGATCTACTAAAGTGCAGGCTGCCAATGAGGACGTGAATTAAGAAGAGTGATTAAAAAAGGGGGAAGCACTTCCAAGGGAAAAAGAGCATGGAAGAATTTAAACCAGAGATGGGCGAACTCCCCTTGTGTTTTTTTTTTAAACCAAATTCGTAGGAACAAGGTTAAGAACGGACTCTATGGCAAGCGGATAAATGGAAGTGGCGCTAGAGCGGTCGGTCGAGCATGCTGGACCACATATTGCGATTTGAAAGCAAGTTCCAGTCGACAGCCCCCCGCACAAAGCCTCCAAAGAGATCCCGAACTGATCCCCGGGTTCAAACGCCCCATTGGGCATCGACGCTGTCGCCATTTAATGTTTAATCAGTCACAGTCACCTGATGCGATTTTTATTGACATTTTTAAAAACAATTTTCTCATCTGGACCCAAATTCCTCACTTCCTTGAAATCAGACATATATGAGTGGGCTGCACTTCCCTCTTTGCCTGTATGGCTGAACTTCAAAGGGAAGTTAAAGGCCAAGCATGACTGGTTTTGTGCTTGGCAGTTTAATACGGCACAGCAAAGACTCGAGTAAATGCTTTACTAGCTCTCCCCAGGACGCCATGCCTGTAGAGGGGCTCCACTCCAGTGCGCACGGGCAAAAAGACAAGGCGGTTCCGGATGGGTGGGAGTTGAGGGTGGTGGTGGGGGAAGCTTAGAAACAGGTGGAAAGTACCGGTGCATGCGTTTCAAAGCTGCAAACAACGAAGAATGTTGGAAAAGTTGCATCACTTTCTTCTCAATGAATTCATTTCCTCCACATATCACAGGAGGAGGCTGAGTCAGTTTTTGAGGGAAATTCAATTCTGAATTCTAATCGGATATTGGGAAAGCTCCATTGATTTGAAAGCTAAACAGCAAGTGTCTTGTTTTGAAGCCAATCACAAGATGAAAATATTATTTCAATCAAAAAAAAAAAGTGTCACTGCTGTTTTGTCGCTATTGCAACAACACTGCAGCAGGTTGCGATTTGACAAAAAATGATAAATTTTTCATTCCACTTTTCAAGTTCTCTAATACGGTTCTCATGTCTCCACCACACCCTCATTTTCTAAACATTCCTGTCTATGAAAAACAAAAATCTGTTTCCAATATACTACTACAATGATGGCAAATTTGTAATTGATACATGGTCAAATCATTTGGATTTCAAATTATGTTTAGATTCCATATTTGGCATGAAGATATGTATGTGTGTGTGTATGTATGTATGTGTATATATATATATATATATATATATATATATATATATATATATATACACACACACACACACACGCACACACACACACACACACACACACACACACACACATATATGCGATAGAAACACAATACAAATGTCACGTTAAAGCCATTTATGCACATATTAAGCACATTTTAAACCTATTTATCATGTAAGCAGTACAAAGAATTCATTGCGCTGTAGGGACCTTGTTACTTCCACACACTAATATGTAGTGAGACAGTGTTGAAGGCAACATCCCATTTACTGATGCATAAGTTCGGAGAAGAAAGTTAGACAAGCTCTGCTTCATGCAGTACTTAATTTTTGGGTGCCGGGAGTCTATTTTCAATTAGGTTTTTTTCAAAAATCTTTTAATAGCGTGCCGATTTTAAAATATTTTACACTTCCTGCTAGGGAATGTCACAACTTCATTTTTTTAAGGCATTACACAAACAAATCCACGTTTGTCACATATCAGTACCAACAAGAAGTGTAAAATTTTAAGCTATTTCCACACCCACACAAACCAGACGGTTTGAAGGAGCTTGGCGCAAACCTGCAGGCTCTAATGAGTAAGCACTACTATGATTTCTATGCCGAGTTGTGTGCCATTACAGAGCCCTAAAACGCTGTGATTAAACACCCATTTCGCTACACCCCGTGTGTACACATTCCCGCAAATGCCAGAGCCAATCCGCGCTCTGTTAAATCACTTTAATGGCTCCAATTTGGACACAACGCTTCTATTATTGGGGTAATTGCATACTCAGCATTTACAAGCACGGAAAGGATAAATTTGCCTGTCCTTTCTATAAATTCCCTGTTTCACACTTTAATAGAAATGTTCAAAGTGTGTGTTGCTCTTTACGTCCTGCAGCCAGAAATACTGCACTCCTGTTAAGTGTCGCTTGGCCCGCCAATCCTTGAACTTTTTTTTTTTTTTTTTTTTTAACGTGTTAGAAAAGTAATATTGGCCAAGTAGGTACTGTATGCAAACAAAATACACAATGTATCAATTCACATGTGATACCTTCCAGTGGCAAATGAGTTCATGTTGCCAAATACAGCTCAACCTAACAGTATGTGGTCAAAACGTATCTGTTCTGGGTTGCAGGTCAACTCTTCATCAAGCTCTAATATAAAAAATATTATTTCTATTCGGAGAAAATTTTACATCATAATTGAAGCTGAAGCATTGTTAGTGAAATACATTTCCAGAGTTGCGGCACGTTGGGCAAGTGATGAGCACATTCGCCTTAAAGTTCCGAGGTTGGGGGTTTGAATCCGGGCTGCGGTCCTGCATGTGCATTTCTCCAGGTACTCCATCTTATTCCCACATTCCAAAAACATGCATGTTTGTAATTGTAGCCAGTTCGGGTCTACCTTTCACCCGAGGTCAACTAGAGGGTGCAGCCGATTAGTAGTTATGTCAGGAGACTCCGGAACTTTCTTGACTATCAGCTTAAATGAACATCAGACCTCGTTTGGATGAACCACCTCTTCTATGCTCGTCAAACAATCCGTATTATCCGCGTCAGGCGTGCGCCAGCACAGCATGAATTTCCTTGTGTGAGTGTACCTTGAATGTACGTAGCCTGAATGGTAATCACAAACCATTAAAATCTGTTGCAAGGTCTTCATAAACCCATTGCAATGTCGTTTTACAAAAAGGCAACGCTAACTGCAGGATTTAATAATCTTACAGGAAGCTGGTTCAGTAAGGAGGAACAGAACATTTCCCACTGAAATGATAAATAATGCTGGATGTGTATTTGGCTTTTACAAACTCACATGATGGCTTAAAACTTAGTGAAGCATTTTATATGAAACACAAACAGTAATATAATATGCGGTGTGAATTTTATCTCAGATGTTTTGTTTGCGGTACAACATGAAGCTTAACACCAAGCACTCAGCGACACATTTTTGCACCTGAAATCTCTGCTGAGATTCCAGAAGCAAATGTGGAACTCAAACAGAGAATTGCCTGGCAAAAAAAAAAAAAAAAATCCACTACCCTTGTCTGCTACTTTGACAAAGATATGGGATGGGGGGGGGGGGGGGTCCATTTCCATGGAGGAAACGCGGAAATACATATAAGCCAAGCGAGTTTCTACATGTTGGTGAAGGCAAAAAAGGGGGAAGGAAGCGAATGGGGATGAGAGGGCGAGAGGGGAGAATGCTGTGCCGATGGTTCATCAAAAATTAATGCCCACCGCATTGGCATCGACATCACGTAGTGGAAAAACAACACATGCCAAACGCCTCAGTGCTCCCTTGCTCCCACCCCCCACTACTCTCCTTCACCTCCTCCCCTCCAGCATGGGGCCTTTCTGATCAGGTGAACCTGGGGAGATATGAGCTCTGACACCTTTGAGAGTTCACACTGAGTGCCACGGCTTGAATTGCAGGAAGTTCCACCACTGTAGCCGCTGTAATATCTGGAGCGCCCCCTCCCCACCCCTAATTGCTGCATTTAATGGCCCAATAAAGGAGATGTGAGGGGAAACAGTAAGTGCTAATATGCAGTATTGGTTACTGCGTGAAACATATTCCCATCCATGACATTTACTTGTTCATCTATTACAATGGAATCTTCATGTCCAAACGTCCCTAAAGTTGTCTGTTAGCAAACAGAAACAAGGTCGTGGCGGTAAATGTGCCTCAAAAGTTGGAACTATTAATGTGGGACTACAGCTCAGTGAGCAGAGTACAGGTGTCAAAGCTATGGGCCGTGGGCGAGATTCGGCCCACATTATTTTACATGGCCAACAAAACCAAATCAAAGCATGTGTCTACATCACGTTTCACTCTAAATCTGCACTTTTAATAACAATGAGATGCATTACAGACATTACACATAATGGCATTCAAAACTGCACAATAGTTGAGCCAACTGTGATCTTTGTGATTTCAAAACTAGTTCACTTTTCAATTCATTTGTTCTACACTCGTAATAATGTGATGAGGCACAAAATAATTATAACAATAATAATTTGACACCCCTGAAAAGGAATACAAAGTATAACAAAAGTGTGTTTCGTATCCTCAACAGGAGAGGCTGAACTGAGCAGCCGTCCTTGCAGTCAACTAGAAGCGAGCGATGCACATCTCCATGCATTTATGTGCTCTTCATTAAACGTAAAGTGATGACACCACCATCATGGCTCTCTCTTTATTGATGACCCAGTGCGGTGCATCAGTCCATTAAAAGCCCACTTCTTGCAAATGTGCAGCTACATTGGCAACTGTAATGTGTGTGTGTGTGTGTGTGTGTGTGTGTGTGTGTGTGTGTGGGTGCGTGTGTGTGTGTGTGTGTGCGTGTGTGAGAGAGCTCTACCTGCTGCATTAACTTTGTGGAGGCCTCTTGGGATGCATTCTTTCTCAGATTCATTCTCCACTGGGCTCAGAGTTCTGGACGGGACACAAAGGACACAGTCAAAGGCTTTTTATGGAAATAGGCATGAATACACCAAGTACTAATTCAATGAGAAATTGCCCATGATTCACATTAACAAGTCTAAAGTTTCAATGGCTGACCATTTCACTATGGCAGGGTGGGGAACATCATTGGGGAACATCCATCAATCCCCATTAGCGAATGAATTCCTCATGGAACTGTATTATATCAAATCTTTCACACCCCTCCTGTTGGGAGACGACTCATACACGTACGCACGCGCGCGAGCACGCACGCACAGCTCAGCACACCGTTTTTTTTTTCTTTTCCAAAGCACTTTTCCTCCTACTTAACGCCTCAAACGTAGACACCGAGAATTCTAGCGGAGCGAGCACATTAAGAGGAATAACTAGTGAAAGAAAGTGAAGCCTCTTCAAAGTAGCGGCGTGCTAATAGCTGTGGGCTGTCACTAGTCCTGCGAGCAGGTATGCGGGATCTGCCTGCATGGAGTCTGACAGGTGCGTGCGTGTGTATTGCGCGCAAGCGAAATGCTATCAGTATTACAGGGGGGCGGCTTGTTCGCTGGTAATTGGCTTGTTTCAGACGGCAGGAAGGAGCTCCCAGCAGTGAGGAGGAAACACACGTCCTGTCACGTTGCTTGTTATTAGCAGGGACAAGGCGGAGGAGACACCCGCTCTACGCTCGGTGTGTGTGTGGGGTGGGTATTTGAGAAAGCGAGTCCAAGTAAGAGTGAGCCAAGTGTCGCCCGTGCACACCCTGTCCGTGACCACTGGTTGATGAGGAGGCTGACAGGACGTGGCTTACGAGTGTACTTGCTTTGCTTCCTTTTGGAGCACAGCATGCTAGCTACTCTGAGCCCGAGGCCGTGTGCACCCTTGATAGCCTCCTTGCTCGAAATGCAAACCACTGTGGTCACACAAGGACATTTAGACAACACTGCTTTTCTTCATGCTCTCTGCTTGATTTTATTGCAACGAGCATAAATGAATCGCTCAGGACCCAGGTTGCGTGCTCAGCGGAGGCAGCACTTGGCGGCAGCGCTGAATGCCGCATAAAGTTTTGTTAAATGGCTTCGGGAATTTTTCTTTGTATCGCACATAAACCCAAATGATTCTTGAGAAATTGGTCCACTGCGTGGAACTGATTTTTGTCAAATCTTCAAACAATTGCTGAAAAATCAAATGCACACTTCGCGACATGGTTTTGGTTCAGTTTGCAACAACTGTTCTCATTCTGACAGGTTACGCAACATGAAAGTTGAAAAATGGTTGTATGTTTCCACCAGTTCCACAGTGGTAAAGTTGAAAAGGTAAACTAGCGAGGCGCTGAAAAGTAGTATGATCATGGATTAACGGTGGTTATTTTGTTGTTTGTAAGTAATGAAATGCAAAAAATGTCAAATGAACGGAAGCTGGTGCTCAACAGCCAGTCTGCATTTCAACATTTCGATGCATTTTGATGTTGGTCAAATACTTGAGTTCAATCAAGACAGGTTCAGCAAGGTCAGTCTCTTGAGCTCCTTTTACGCATCTAACATTTCTCCTGACTTTCATCTTCTGTTCTAAAGATAGTTTGAGAAGAAACCCAAACTGATACCATTTACCATCACGAGCTGCAGTCACATTTGGCCTATTTATATTTTGACGCTCGCTAAATGCCTTGTGTCACAATTGCTCCAACAATAAACACCGAGGATATTTTACATAAAGGGTTCTTAAAATACACGCAGTGCCTCTTTGGAAATGTCTGTAACCAACAGAGCGAGAGAGAGATTTCCAGACAAAAGATGTGTTAATTGATGATGAGAGTCAATGTTCTTTAAATATATATAACCAACCTTCAGCCATGAAATGGAGGAAACAAGATTTCCTTTGGGTTTCTGTTCTCAATTCATCACACACTTTGTCATTTTAATTTCATTCATTCTTTCAGGGTCAAATGATTGCGCGTGGCCCTCGGCACTTCTTTATCTCCTCCGCACACATTGCCTTTGCTCGTTTGCGTCGCCTCACGCGTGCGAACGAATATAACGCAAGCTTTGGATTGGCAACAGAGAGGAGGAGGCGAGCAGTGATGTAAAAGCAGAGCGGGAGGGAGGGATGGCAATAGAATGCGGCCAATGCATGAACTAGTAGCCTTTACATGAACCTGCTCCCTGATGACTTCTGCCCTTCTCCAGGCCAACTACCTGCTGGTGGAACAGCAGATGTCTGGTATGGGGTACAAAGAGAATGTGTGTGTATGTGTGTGTAATTACATTCAAGATGGCGAAGAAAGATTCAGTATGCGAGGGAGGATTATGAGGGGTACAGATGGGGCTGAAAGCTGAGTCGGCGGTCGTGTGAGAAGACCCGAAGAGAGTTCGTCTGTGTGCGTGTGTGCGTGTGTGTGCGTGTGCGCGCGTAACCTCTCTTTGTACTCCTGCTGTCAGCAAGCATGCACAGATAAGATCAGACCTGGGCATGACCCATCACATGCCAACTCCTCACGCTCTGTCTGACCTCCATTTGCCTCGCTGCCTCTGCCCCGCCATGCATCCCTGCTCCTCACGCCCTCTCAAATGCACAACTATCTCCAGGTGTTCTTTTGTTCCATTATACACACGTCTCTCTGCTCTTTTCACTTTCCCATGTTTCCCGTGACCCTTTTGAAAGGCGGACCGTCGACAGGGACAAAATTGAAAGTGGAGGCAGAAACTGGCTCTATGCATCCCACCATATATTATAATTTAGTAACACATATTTCGGAGGCATTAATATACAGTCATCGTAAGTGACAGTAAGGCTAATGAGCATTTAAAATAAAATAAGAGAAATCAGCTGGTTGGCTGGTGTCTAACACTTAGGGGAGATAAGCAAGGGAAGCAAAATTTATCACGGAGGCTCATTCAAAGTCAATATCTGCAGTCCACTGTTGATCCAGTGTTCTTCTGATTAATGTTTTCCAGAAAGCGTGTTCCCAATGAGATTGAAAGTGATGCAGACAGGTCCTGTAACTTACCCGCTGTTGGTGTCCAGGCTCACACAGTTGTTGGTAGTGCTCTGTGTCCAGCTGTGACTCTGAGCTAAGAGGCCCAGCGCAGGCAGATAGGACAGCACCTGCCATACGTCATACAGGTAGACCACCGTGTTGGGGGAAAAGTAGGATGCGAAGGAATATAAACACAAAAAAAAAATCCAAACAAGGACATACCACTTTCTTGAAAGAGAGAGGTCCGCCACCCATTCTAATTCCATTTTTGCAGCAGATATTCCTGAATATTGCATCCACCAATACCAGTTTAAGCCTGGTTGATGAAATTCTGGCAACCATCTCAGTTAAGACTACTGGAGACAGATCTATGGGACAGACCACCACAGATATATTTCCATGCCCACATACAACACAACTGGATGCACATCAATTTTTCCACATTAAAACAAATAAAAAACTACTTTTTATTCAATTTTACTTTTATAGTAAACTGATTAAATAGCTATTGTGTCTGCATTCAATCCTTACATTGGCTTGTGATGGCAAAGTGCTCTGCTAGGTCTTTCAGTCCATTTTCCACAAGCTTCTGGTTTAGTTTGAAGTGCTGTGTACACCAAAACTCCACCAACACCGAAAGAAGGTCCAGTAGGATGGCGAGCAGATGCGTTGTGTGCTTCTTGTCGCCGTCAGTGTGGGCCTGCGGGAAGATGAACCACAGCTTAGCTTGGCAAACTCAAAAGAGCAGGAAAAGGTCATGTCAGATCACCACAAATGTGACTCATATTCTAGAATATTTACCTCAGAGGCGGCCTGCATCGTGAGCTGGACGAGCTTTTTTACGGCGTGCGACAAAAGAGTTGAACGTTCCCACACAGTCCAGAAGGTTCCATGGAGTAACGAACCTGATGTGGATCCCTGATAGTCTCCTGGTTCTGGAAGCTGCCTGAAATCTCTAAGGGAAATGTGAGTTCACCTTAATTATTACTTTTTCAAGACAAAATGGGGACTAAATTGACAATTGCATTAATAGACTTATTTTCTAATGATACGACTTTACGGATTATACATTTTCTGAAACTCCTTTCTCGGTACAGTTAAACCCTTTCAGAGATCTTTCACATCTCCCAGGTTTCATAGGGCATGCTAGGTCTGTACCCCGTGTTGATGGAGTGCAGTTCCCCTTGGAAGAGCTTGAGAAAAAATGCCACCACATCACTGTGGAAGTGTAAGAGAGTTGGCAGTGCCGGCCCAGGGAGCTGGTGACAAGTGGCCTCACTTGACAGGCAGTAACTATAGGGACAGACACAAACGGGAAGCAACACTGTAGCATGTGGTATATTTTAGAGTACATTGGCACAACATCCATTTTCTAAGCCATCACCAGTGCTATCCTATTTAAGGTTCACGTCAAGGTAGGGGCTGGGGTCTATCCCACACTAGACTGGCCTGGTAATCATAGGGCAATATTAAAAATACGGAACTGAGAGAGAAATTGAGGGCATTCCAAGTGAAAGCAGGGGGGAGATCCGTTTTAAGTTTCAAAACAGTCTTGCTTAACTGCGTGGCTTTCACATGATGGGGGGGGGAAGATTTGGAGATGGAATATCACTCATAAAATAGAAAGTGTACCTTATGGCTGTCTCGAGAAAAGGCCACGGGCCCATCTTGCAGCGAGGGCACTGCAACACGCAACAGTAATACTTCTTCGCGTTGGTGGGAGACAGCCAGGGAGGGTTGGTAATGAGCAACCTGTGCATGATTTGTCGGAAGCTACTTAGGAAGATAGTTGTGGCGCTACCCTGAGATGGAAGGTAAAACAAGAAAAAAATAAATAAGAGGTGTCAATGTTACTTTGATGAGTAACAACAATATTGACTCTGGTCGAGTTTTATTATTTCCAATGAAGACTTTTTGGCTGGCTTTACAATGCAGTTCCAAGTGGTCAACTCCAATTTAATGCCAATATCCCCATTTATATATTCATGCCATATGACATATATCCTTTATGGCTGTTTACGCAACACATTAAACAATCCGCAGAAGGAGATACCCAAATTGCATGTATGTACATGGAAGTTACCCCATGCGTCAACCCGGTCTATGACAAGACAGCAGTAAACAATAGACTTTATACGATCAGGGTTTTTGGGGTCGATCAGCCGTCCAAAGGTTTGAAGATGGAACAATTTATCTTTTTAAACAATGTGTATGTTTACCCTAGGATCGACCCCCGCCATACCAATAATGTATTGGAAAAAACATTATTTAAACCCAAAAAGTTAGTCAAAAACACGCTGATAAACATTAAATGAACATAGTAATAAACATGTAATATGTACATGTTGACAACATGTCATTATCGGACATTAATGAAAGAAAAAAAAAAAAAGCATAAAAAAATATCAGTATTGTGTCATTTGAACCATGCACTGTAAATAGACACTTAAGGAGTTCTGGAACAGGTTGTGCAGTGTTTTCTACCCTGAGGCTAATGCAGCGGCTGAGAATGTACACGGTCCAGTAGTTTTAGTCCTACCTGCTGTGCGTAATCAATCAGAGACACCAGGTATGGTGCTGGTGGCAGAATCCCCGGGAACAACGCACTTCGAATTGTGTCCAATGCTTCAATGAAGAGGCCGCACTCTATCATGGTGCTAATGTTGCTGAAGTCCGTTTCAGTTGCCTGAAAGAATAAAAGAACGGTGATAAAATGAAAGTGCTGTGTAAAAGAAGAACAGGAAAAATGGTTCGAACAGCGACGGAAAGTGGGAAAACTGAGGGCGGAAGCCTAATGGAAATTGGATGTGATCGGCCATCTTAAGTTCTTGGGGGTCATCCCTAACTGTCAGTTCTTGCCAAATAGCGTACGGACTCCGAGGGTAGAGAATGGAAATACGCAAGCAAGCGCTAATAATAGCAATGTGATAGCGATCTGCTTGGGACAGATACAGACAGGACAGAGTCGTTAATAGGTATGCCAATCAAAACACCAAGATCAGCTGACAGCGGTGGTTAAACTGGTGACCTGAGGACAACGCGCCCTTTGCTCTCCATGTCACCTTCCATTGAAATGTATGACATGAATGAAATTGAATGACCTGATCTTCTTAATGAAGCACATGGTAATTTTGGAGCTGTACAGCAAGCACCATAGACGTCCAATGACACCAGGTGTGAATGTCTACCTGTGACAGAGGCTGATGGGGGTCGTGGTTATCAAGAAATTCAAGGAAGAGCAGTCTTGGGTGGCTCTAAAGAATAGATCATAAAATAAGCATTTCCTGTATTGCGCTTGGTGAACGGCGATTTGCAATAAAACCGTGCTTCTCTTGAGTGTGTGCACCTCCTGTTTGATGGCGTGCTCCCTGAGGTCTGCCTCCAGTTGAGAAAAGTCAACATCAACAACACTGGGCTCCGTTGTGTCATTATTATCATCCGTTACGTTGAACTTCATGTGAAGAGAATTGCTCTGACAAAGTAAAAAAAAAAAAAAAAACATTTCAAATAATCACATTTTATTTTGATCAATTTGATGTGATACGGGAAAATCACAAGTAAATCTACTCCTAATGAATGAATGAATGATGAAATAAAATGGCCCAGGCAGATGTCTACCTTTGCCAGGACCAACTAATCTTACTCAGGATTTGCACCTAATTTTGCGCCACCACAGAAATTAGATTTTTTTTTACATCCCACATCTTTCATGTTTTTAAATTAGGATTAATAATTCATAATATTTTGCTAGTTTTGAGAATTTGGCTAAGGGTGGTCGAAATATCTTATTCAAAGCAGGAGGTGTCTGCAGCCATACATAAACAGTGCAACACTTCAAAGAGACACTTGAAAGCTTAATGAAACATTGCTCTACCACACTAAGGCATACAACCTGAACATACTACAAGTAGAACTGGCTACAATTGGCTAGCAACCAGTTCAGGGTGCACCCCGCCTACTGCCCGAAGAGAGATGGGATAGGCTCCAGCACACCCACGACCCTCGTGAGGATAAGCGGATTAGAGAATGGATAGATGGCTGGTGTGGAACTAGTTCGCCAAAAATAACAGCAAGTCTATCATCAAATACAATAAAAGAGCAAGTGAAACTGAAACAGCCAAACAGAGACATGCGTATTTTTAGGGGAGGCAGAAAAACTCTAACTAAAATATATTTAAATCCAACATAAAATTACATTTTTGAGAGAGTGTAGTTGCGACAGGATTATAAAATGCAACTTTTATTGATTTTATGTGACTTACCCCAAAAAGGTACTGGACGATGTGGCTTACAGGGAAACAAGGAGCATTGTGGGAAATTGCTTCCGGCGTGAAGGGCTTGGCTATGACGTGAGTGATGGAGGCGTGAACGGGAGGAGGATTGCTGTATACTGTGGCGCTACCAGCTTCCAACAGCCTGGTAAATTCATTCAAAATGAAACTTGATGAGCGGATTATATTCATTCATTCCAACGTTTTTAAATGGTATTTGCATATCATCCAACCAACCGTTTGAACATGACTAAACGGGATGAATCTTGGACCATGAGAAGAACCCGCCAGCCTTGGAAGGCCCCTGTTATTGCCCCACTCGTCACCTTCTCCCGCCATTGTCTAACGGGATAGAAGGCAGACATGGGATCTGTGGGAACGGCCACCTCATAGGGCCCCTCTGGGAGCCAGGAACTATTCCTAACACTGTCCAGAACATAGTTTGGAGTGACAACCCACTTTCCTGGTAAGAGAGAAAGAGAAACAGAGCAAATGTGATGAAGTGGATGAAACATGTTGTTTCGTTTCCTCGCCACAATAATTAACTTTGAAGCTTTAGTTTTTTTCTCTTTGATAAACAATCATGTAATGTATGATTCACTTTCATTATGACCAACCTGCAGCACAAAAAGCTAGAAATTTCTCACTGGCCAAAACTTGAGGGATTATTAAATGGGTACAAGCATTTTGGTAAACCTGAAAAAAAAAAAAACATTAATCTCCAACTTGATTTGCAAAGACTTGTATATGTTCATAGCTACTTACAGAACTCCCAACATATTTCCCACCCAATTGATGAATTCCCCGGAGCAATGCTCTCTTCTTGTCACGATTTTTGATCCCAGAAATTTGGAACACGGGAGTGCACCCCTCCATCACCAACTGTGAAAACAACACATCATCATCGGTCATTATTAGCAACCATTTTCCTCGATAAATACAAAACCGTTCATACAGAAGTTTGACTTCATGACACCCTTAACCACTGCTCAACACGACAAACTCATTTCTTGGGGGGGATTAGCTCATTTAACTCATTCACTTGGCTCTTTAAACGCTAATTAACGTGTTTTGAACAGACGGAAAAACACCGTCACTGCACAAATCGGCTCGATGTCGTTTTCATACTCATAAACGCAATATTAATTCGCGGTCATTCGTAACTGTTAACTGCCAGTTCCCGCCGACTTCTCAGTTTCTTCATACACGCTCACACCCGACCTGCATTAACTCTGACATTGAAACAGTCACCTTTGCGTATCTGCTGTCTCTTGGCGAGTAAATTTAACGTGTGACAACGGAAACATATGACTTCATACCACTGAAAAACAAGAGCCGTGTTAAATCATACTTGAGTTTGGCTCCTCTCGTGTCATTGGTCTGTCCGGATAGATTCACTGCGCAAAGATTCGTAGGGCAGTGTCTCCAAAGAGAATATCTGTTACCGTTGTGTAGCAGAAGCATTGTCAGTGTAGTTTGATTAAAATGTATAATGTTTTCTAATAAAATTAATAAATATCATTCCTTCGTTTCCATAGCTCAACATACGCCTTTTATGGTCGTTTTGAAGCTGTTGTCCCCTTTTCAATTTCAAAATGAGCGGCTCCGTTAAGCGGAAGTTTTCTGCTAAGCATTTCCGGGTTGTTGTCATGGACGCCTAAGATGTCTGAAATAACAACGACGAGAGAGAACACAATATTCATTGATAAACAAGGATCATTTATCTCCTGATACATTTGTAATGTATTTTGGAAACAATTCATGATCGTTTTTTTTCAATCTACGATTAGCGGCCGTGGTTGAAACAGAAATGTTTATCGGAATTCTTTAAAGCACAATCGCGTAACGGTGTCAGCGATATGTATTTTCAAGTGGAATTCGATAATTTTCACAATTTCACAAATCTGCTTGTGCTAAATTGTTTGGAGATGAAGTTTGCCTGTCGCCGTCGGGTTTCGTATTTCATCGAGAGGAGATCCTAAAGGAGGTTCTCATATGGAAGGTAAGAATTACTGTAATATAATTAGTTATGCCTGTAAATATTCCCAGGAGCGTTCCAACTTTTCAAACCAAGGTCACTGCGCCTCAGGTGTATTGCTAACCATTAGTCAAAGTGTATTAAATAGTGTATGATGTGCCAAACAGAATAAAAAAAAATATTAGCCAGAACTGTTGAGAAATACTGACACCAATTGTTATGTTCACAATATTATTGGATGTCATGTGACGATTTTACTTATTATTACTCATTACTCATTACCTGTATACATTTACGTGAATTAATCAAAAATTGCCCAGCGGCTTATTTTACTGTTACTTTAAAACAGGGATGGGCAATTGACGGCCCAGATAATAATTTGAGTGGCTGCTTGATTAATTAAAAAAATAAAATGAAATTTTGTTGGGCTGGCATTATAAACATGGTTCCTGAATACTTGTGGCTTGGCACCATTCACAGTTTTTCTTTTTTTCAATTTTTTTCCTTTTTATTTTTAAAATTTTGTGTTTAAATGTTTTCCTGGCCTGTCAAAGAAATATGCCTGTCAGTGCATATATATTGCATCATGCCAATTTCACACAATAAACCCCACACCATGAAATACACTACTGTGTTTCCAAATGGCTTCTGCACTACTGTGTTTCCAAATGGCTTCTGCTGGAGTGTTGCTTAATACAGTTGATTGAGGATGATCTTTCTTTAAGAGTTTCACACACAGTGTTATTCTCATGTTACCTCAGTGGCAAATACTTTGGAGCTGCGACAAATGTCATTCCCATCTGGTGCTGTAAAATCAATAGAAAGGCTTTTTTGGACGTCCTGCACCATTGAAACAGTGACCGTGAAACTATACACCCCTATTGGCAAGAATAATATAAAACCAATGCAGTACTATTGTTTCCAAATATACACCTGTTTAATTCATGATGTTGCCTTATTGTTCTGCTAGGTACACCTTTTAAAACAATGTTGACATTGGCTCGACATGCTCTAAGTGGCTTTAAAGTGGCGGCCTGGGGGATGTGCTGCTAAATATTTTAGTACAGACTCAATCCTTCAAATGGGCCTCTGCGTTAGCCTGGTTGCGGCACAGGAAAGAGTGATCGTATTTTGTGTGTGTGTGTGTGTGTGTGTGTGTGTGTGTGTGTGTGTGTGTGTGTGTGTGTGTGTACAAGACATGCACACTCATTCTCTAATAGCTGTTGAGTTGATGTGTCAAGGGGGCAAGTGTCTGCTCCATCAGTCCCAATTGCAGCACTGGGAAGCACACTAGGGTGCCTTCAACATCTGCTTTGTAAAGAGCTAATGACACCAAGACAGACAGCTGCATGTTTTCAAGTGCTGTACTAATAAGACCATTTGTGCTGTCTTCACTTTCAGGGCACTTCATTTGGTACACATGCATACTGTAGTAATATTATTAGTTAGTTTTTTTGTATTGGAGCTCAACAGTCTGTGCATGTCTACCTATCAGTCGGTGAATGATGATCTGTTTCTAAATGTCTCTTTTTTGACTCAACGTTATTTGAAATTGTTTATTGTTCTGATTGTTTGTGCTTTATTGTAACTTTGTAGTCAATTTCTTGAGCTGTGGTGTTGCCTCTTGGCCAGGCCTCCCTTGAAAAGAGATCTGCGGATAACAATGGGATTTTCCCGGTTAAATAAAGCTGAAATTAAAAATAATTAAAGAATGTGTTTTTTTATTAACAGAAGCTTATTATTTATGCTACCCTGCAAAAACGCAGCGAAGATGCTTGCCGAGCAGATAAAATAAATTTTTCGAGGGGATATCTTGAGAACCACTTGACAACAATTGTTTCACTCGAACCTGAAGGTGTTTTTGGACTAGGTTTCTCAGAGACAATCACATTTTGCTACACTGATTTGCTACCACTGACGGCTAACGTCAGTTTGCATACTGTGATCAACAAATCATTCATTCAAATCATTTCTAAAAAACACATTGACACAAAAATCTCTTCATCTTTCACAATTCTAAACATAGATTTTTGGCTAAGGTTAATTCCCGCCTTTCTGGCCAGGAGGCGTGGCCAGAGAGTGACAAGAGGTGGCTTTGCATACCCATGGCCACCACTTAGCTCTGCCCCTTGTTTGGAAATCTTGTCCTGTCGCTACACTACCAAAACACATTCTAAGCATGGCAGTGTGTTATGTGTGACAACAGGTGTGCTTGTAATGTGTGCTGCTCACAGACACAAATATACTCACTATCTGGTTCAGGCTCTATCAATAAATATAGTGTTGAGTTTCCTTATCCATAGAGTGAACAGCTTCCCCTTAAGCAATAGCTGCTTGCAGGCGTCCTCTCAGGCGGCGGTGGAGACGGTGCATGATGATGACAGAGGGAAGAAGAGAAGGCAAAATAATAAAGGACAAGCTTAACTGGTGGTGCTGTCAGTGTGGGGGAAAATAATATTTGTCCACTTGGACAGGCCTCCCTTTGTGCAGGCTAAATGAATGTTGAGCTTCCTGTCTGCCCTGTCAGGGAGAGTGGCATCGAGTGTGTGCAGCAGTGAGGAAGCGGCGCGCAGTACGGCGGGCTGTTTGCCGTTTGACAGGGATTATTAAAATCAGAGCACATGACGACGGACCGAGCGGCAGGCGGAGTGTGAGAAAGCCAAATTGACACAGACACTCTCCATTACCTTCCACTTGACTCTGCTTAATGACAACGTTGATGCGAGACCCAGTGATGCTACACAGGTGGGGGATTGGCTTTTAGCAGGAACGTTAAGCACCGCAGGGATGAGGGGGCTCTCGGCCCCTCAGCTCTGGCACAGCCATAAGGAGATGGGTTGTTTATTTAAAGGTTCAACTGAAGAGCATCTCATTATTTTGGGTGCTGTGTTTTTCCTCTGCTTTAACTCGCTGTAGTGTCAGTAGGTGGAATTGGTTAGAGGGAATGTATGCATGCTAATCAGGGGTCATCAGGAGGGCAAATGACCTTGTCACGGCAGAGGCGGCAGACTGTCTTTGTCAGTGATTACCTTCTATTTGTTTCAGGTGCAATTGATTTTGCAAGCCCTAATAAAACAATTATCAGTGGACGTGTCACATGATTGCCAACTACTTGAGTGTTTGTTGACAGGCGGGCACGATGATACCACACTCCAAAGCTCGTCAATCTGCATAGTTGATTTAATCCTGACACCCCTCGCACCTGCCTGTGACGACGTTTTGTGCCGTAAACTGGAGCATGTCATCTTTTTGATGATTTATTTTCTCTCTGGCTCGAGCAGCATGGAGTGGCCAGAAGATTTTCCCGATGACCAAGCCTTTGTTGAGCTGGTGGTCCCTGCACACTCCAGCGAGATAGACTTTGAGCATCTCGTCAAAGACATCGAAGAGAAACTCAAACTCAATGCCAACAGGTCAGTTACAAAATGTCAACAAATCTGAACATCAGAACAACACACAGCGCTGCCGTGAGATATGAGTATAATTCATTCCGCGACCACACCCATACTCAAAATACTCATATCTCAAATCATAGTTCCCCTTTGAAATGAATGGAAGTGCCCTTCATCCGTTCTAGCTCCATCCAAAAAACCCCACATATTTGTTTTGTTTTGTTGTTTTTTTTTTTTGATAAGGAAAAATCACACGATATAATATTGTACTTTCTAAAAACATAGAGTCATAACGTAGTAGAGAGAATGTAAAGAATTAAACAGTTAGTTGGAATAAGGATGTAACTTGACAATATTTCTCTCCAAATATGATACACAGTTTCAGCTTTAGAAATACTGTACTACATTGACTTTTTTTTTTTCATGGCTTAAAGTAGTGGAAATCTCTCTTGCCCATCTAAACAATCCAGAATTTTCGTGTCTCTGGATATGAAAACACGATGGGGTAGACAGGTTTTTAGGCCCTCAAAATCAGTTAAACAGCTGAATTCACAAATAACCTGTGATTTACAGAGAAGCACCGCAACATGTTCAGCTCTCAATTGCTACCATTTACACAGCATAACGCTCATATCTTTGCCGGTATTACCGTGTCATCTGCTCCTCTTATTCACCTTTATGAAAGACCTGAATATTTGGCAGGGAAGTCGGTCTCTTTGTCTGCCTGTTAAGCCAAAAGGTGTTAGACTGATTACAGTGCTAAATCATTTATATGACTTGTCCTTGTAAGATTTGTAAGCAAGTCATATGATGGGTTTTTTTTCCCCCTAACTGGAGTTTCAGAAGGGCAAAAACATGAATAGCGCATCTTTCGTGGTTAGGATGTATTATAATCTCATGGATACAAGACTGCAAAGATCTCTCTAGGAGCCAAATACACGGCTCTTGAACACCCAAATGGTTATAACTGACAGAATGACACTATTCTATTGAATTGTTCAATATAAGGGAACATCTAAACAGCCATTCAAAATGGTTATTATTTCCACCGGCCGCAATGCATTCAGTACAGGAACAGTATAGCAGTACATAAGATCAAGCAAAGCTAGCTCACAAGTTGGGTTGAAATACTCAAATACGCATTTCTTGCGTGTCGGTCCACCCGCTGGCAACATCGCTTCCCTTTACATTTGATACCCTGCGGCTTTCTTCTGCTTCTGCTCACAATTCCGGCCACGAGAAGGCATTTCTCATCAGTAGCTTCAGTCTATTATTTGTTTTGGGGAGCTGAGGTGTCAAGTTGACAGATTGGTAAGAGCCATATCGAGTGTGATAGAAATCCAAGACCTGTGGTCAAAGTGTCAAGGCACAATCACCACACGTCTCGTGAGCGTGTTCATTTTCATGAAATCGGCATCAGACCGCAAATCGCAGACACTCCCATGCTAGTATTGTCGAGAATATTCATTGACAAATTTACAAATAAACTAAAGTGGCCACTACACAACTTTGTACTCCATCTATACAGAATTGGAACATTTTAGATGTGAATATAAATGTTCTCCTCTAGGGAGCTTCAGTTATCAACTTTATGGAAGATTGCGTATTAGCCAAAAACACAGCCCAATTATTTTTATGTATAGAATGAAAACATACACCAAAAAAAAAAAAAGAGAAAAAAAAGGTAATGAATCCATTAATAATGTCATGATACTATACCTTGACGAGCATACCGGTGAGTGTATTGTAATGTTGAGTAACAAGTAATAGAGAAAAATAATTGACCGATTAATCAATTATTAAAGTCAGCGATCAGCTCTAAAATTGAAAAATGTGCAGCTAATCCATGTGATCACAGTCGATTTCACTCATGGATGATTGCAGCAGCATAAAACCCTGAGCAGAACACCCCTCTCGTATACATACACTTGAATAAAATTCAATTCAATTATCAAATTCACGGTGGTTGGTACATATATACTATATAATTTAGTGCTGCTCCAAATTAAGAGTGTTGTGCCTTAACGGTTGCGCTGACTTCCATTTTAGTTTGTTCCATGCCACATGGAAATGTGACTACAGATGGTTCCTCTTCAGAAGATTCCAAGTCCAGTTGGCACTATTACGCAGAGCAAAAATCACTGGATCGCATGCTTTGCAAGAAAAGTAAATTCAACTTAAAAAGGGCACACACCAACAGCACCGTGTTATCGGACAAAAAGACTGATGTGTATCTCCCATTAAATCCCTTGCAATGAAAAACAAACAAACAAACAAACCTAAGAACTTTTGGACCTACAACTTTTAAACTTTAAACAATTAAGCCCGAACTGAATGTTGCAGACTGAAAAGACAGAAATGTCTGTTAGTGATTGTACAAATGGATAGATAAAAAGCAACACATGGGGAGAAGAAAAAGAGAAATCTATATTTCAGGTCTTTTATCGTTTGAGGCGTTGTGGGTGTGAGGGCAGATGATGAAGGACAGGCTAAATGTAGCAAGTGAACAAAGGCTCACTCTGGCAGCGTTAATGTCTGGGACTCTCTCTGTCTCCCGTTTTCTCACCCTCCCTCCCTCTTTCTTTCCTTCCTCCTTCTAAATGGGAACATCATAATTGAAGATTCCACATCTTGAAACGAAAACCCTTGGGTAGGTAATTCAAGGCTTATTACTGAAGGCCGGGCCATTTTTCTGCTTTCTAAGCATTAAAGGGTTATTTTGTGTTCCTGCAGATGGGAGAGGGGGAACCATTATGAGAACAAAGCGTGTAGATAATGGAGAATGGGGCTAAAAATAAGGCAATCCTTCGCTCACGATGGGGGTCCACTGGTCAGCGTCTCTGTCAGGTTGTAGCGATGTCGTGTACGGCCTGCCTGCTTCAGGCTGGACCTTTTCACATGAAAACCTAGCAAACATTTTTTTTTTTGCTTCAACTAGGGTGGGCTGTAGCCCCTGCAACCACACGCACTCGTCTCTACTGCCACCTAATTGACTTATCAGTACTTAGTATGAATTACGGAAGTGTAGGAGCGGAAAGGATATCTGAAAGAAAGCGGAAACGATGCATGCTTGCCGATGTGAAGGCCTCCAACCCGATTACGAGTGACGGTCGCGCTCTGAGTTCTCAAATATCCAAAATCTGCCCCAGAGCTGCTCCCTAATTGAAGGAGATTAAGATAGGCTGACAACAGAACCCGTTCCCTCAAATTGAAATGCTGTAATCCATTAGTTTTCATCAGATGGGACTGTGGAGCACGGTAGCCTTGGGTGGCTCGTGGCTCTACATGACCCACCAGGGACGGACCGCTAATCAAGTTTTAGCACCGGCCAGGAGAATCCGGCCAAGACAGGTGACCCTGTCTGGTCGCCTGCCACTCTCAAATTGCAAGACTGTGTTGGGAGGTATCAGGTGCTTGTGATAATCTATTTGCAATTGTGCGCAAGCTGAAGATTTTGGTTTCGCTACGTGTTCACCGACCAGATCAGCCTTATCGGCTCTCTGGTGGAAGTGAACGCTGGGAGGTGAGGGCACTAAGTGGGCCCGGGCCAGGTCAGGCTTGTATCCGTTTTCAGTGCGCTCATTCAACCTTAGTCGCTCCTATTTCCATTACAGAATGGGGCCCTTTGAGGAAGGTGATATTTAGCTCTTTTGGCTGTGACCGCAATCGGCGTTTATTTGAAAAGGATCTTCCTACGGCCCCTACTGACTCCATCCACCCCCTCCCACCTCTTGTAGGCAAGCAGTGGGGAGCAGAGCGCGACAGACAGCCCCCACAGCAGCCCACCCACACTAAATTAATTCTGACAAGGAACTTAAGATAATGTCAAAGCGCTGACTAATCGTGGGATTGGGTTTCTGTAAGTCAGGGAGCTGTGAAATGTGCCATCATATCTCATAAAAGACCTCCTCCTTTCTATTGCAGTGATGCTGAAGGTTGGGGTGGAGGGGGCGGGGGGGTTAAGGGACGATGGCAGGGGGAGGGTGACTGTCTAGCTAGGCCGATGTGAAAAACAATTAGGGTGCTCTTAGGCAGCGTGAGTGCGAGGGAGGCGACGGATGTGTTCGTCAAGAGGCCAAAAGAATCAATTTTCCTTTTGCTCACGGGCTCTCTTGTTACAATCAGCTTCTACTTCTTTGTCATCACGTGTTATTGTCATCCTTCGCGGAAGAGTTGAATGGTTTTATTTACTGCAGCTACTTTGAAAATCCCCCCCCTTCCCCAATTTCCCCTTCCTCTTTCTCACATTCCCTTTATGTGCCAGTGTCTAAGCTGCTGCCAGGGGAAGTTGCGGGATGAGAGCTAATCCTGCCAAGTTGATTAGGCTGCAGGTAGCTTTCACACCAGCAAGCCAAAGGTCACAACATTGTGGAGAGCTGGATGGACTTCTTGACACAGGCCATCCGCATTGACCAGATAACTTTTAGCACATGTCTGTAAGCAGGGGTAATCGAAAGGTGCAAGTGAAGTTTTTAAGAAGGAAAGAGCGAGTTGAGAGAAAAGAGTGTGTATGGCCAAAGCTTGAAGGTGCAGCAAATAGAATTTAGGTCTGACTTTCACCAGGCTGTAGCTTGTACAGTGACAAAGTCTTCATTCATAGGATATAATTTAAGTCTGTGTGACTCATTTCATCATGTAATGTCTTCCTGTTTCACCAAGCTAGATGTCCGACATTTAAAAATGACCTTAGTTCTGTTGTAAAACCCGTCCTGGAATTGGACTTCATTTATATGTTGTGCTTTTAATGAACTTCAGCGGGTGACTGAAAAGTGCACTACAGATGGAAACCCATTTCGAACCTGCTGTCTGTTTGAAGCCCTGGTGTGGAGCCCAGAACCTGAACGATGAACATACATCATCTTCTGTTGTAAAGCCTTTGTAGAAGAAGGCATCTGACAGGAAAATATCCCGTTCATTCGTTTTATTTTCGCTTCACATGGCAAAATGTTTTTTTTTTTTAAAGCCCAAATGAAAATAATAAAACCGAAATCACCGAACCAGTCTGGGGATTTGCACGTGCAGCAGAGCTTGCTCATGTTCCGAGAAAATGCCCTTTGACAAACTGAAACATGGCTGGAAATAAATGGAAAAAAATATATATATATTTACACGAGACACATCATCACGCCTGTTTTGAAGGTGGCATAGGGAGGGAGGAAGCGCTAGTTAAAATGGCAGTGTTGATTCTCGAGCACAGACGTTTGGGCCAGCGTATAACATTTTATCCCCTTGCGATTTTCCCCTCTGAAATGAAAGTGTATCAGATTGAACGCTTATTTAATGTGTTGCCATTGTAAGACATCTGGATGTGTTAATGGCCCCGGAAGCAGGCAGGAGGCAGTTTATAGACCCACAGTTGGGGGATGAGCCGTCTGATGGGGAAATGAGCCTGTACCGTGATTCACATAGTGACACACACATGAATACACATAGGTACATTAAAAGGATTTATATTTTAGGGAATCACATTATCACCATATACACCTTATTTATTAGACTTTTAGTGTTAATTATTCAGCATATAAAACAAAGAAGGAAATGCAAAAAAAAAAACAAAAAAAAACACCCCCCAAAACACCGGAACTAATCTGCTTCGGGACACTGGTAGAAAAATTCGCCCTCTTGGTACTGAAAACAGAAAGAGTATTCTATCTAGGATCTGATTGTTGTCATCGTGTAAATCTTTATTAATTACTGGAATGGAAATATTTTCAGTCTCAACTGACCATTGGTAGTACTCAGCATAGTACATTAAAAAATCCTGAAAAAAAAACACTCAACTCTCAATTTTATGGACTGTAAAGGTTCCACTGTATTTTTCCCTGATGAGAGCGCAGCTCTTTGTGCTTGACAAAAAATGTCTATTTGAACTTTTATGAAAATAATGTCTTCATGATTTGCAGACTACAGTATGCACTGCCTGATGCAAATCATCATGTAATCTATCATTAAAATCCATATAAATAGTCGCAGAAAGCCAGTCAGATTTAAATATGCAGGATATAACAAACATATGCACATTAAGCAAATTTCATACAGTATGCATTGATTTACATTGGAATAACAAATTCATACCTTCTAATCTGTCACTCCATTTAATCCGTCATGTTGAAGCATGTTCAGAGAGTGTGTATGTGTGAGATTGTGTGCACGCGCATGTGTGCGGGCGCGTTTGCCAAGGAAAAAGGGTGAGACGTGACATGGCAAGAAGCGTGTCTCAGATATCGGCTGATCTGTAACACCGCGCCACTCCACACCAGCTGCTGAGCACACGCAAGCTCACACTGATATATCACTGCGTGCACTCGCACCTGCCTTCTATCTTCTTACGATAGAGACAAAACATGTGAGGACCAACTGTGATGCGGACTGTTGGTCCCCATATGGCATGTTTAAGATGGTGTCCATGTGTTACTTTGAAGTAGTTGGAGTGTGTACACTCTTGCGGACAAAATCTCCCAATAGTTGTATTCGAGATACTCAGCTGTAAATCTTCCCACTTGTTGGCAAGTTGACCGTTAGAAAGATTTAGTGGCATTATAAAAGCACCGTGCATCAAATGCATATCTGGTTTATCGGTAAAGTTTCGTAGAAAATGTGGTCTTTCGACTGTAGTGGACGGATTTACTGTGTGTAGTAACTGTCTTGGCTGTTCCAGTTATGCAATTTACTCATGTTCCTCAGTATTGAACAGCATCTGGTGGAACTCCAAGCCAAAATGGGAGACTTGCATCCAGGCGAACGTCCGCCCAGCCCGACAGAGTGCATGCGGTGGTTCGATCTCAAAATGCTCAACAGTGTCAGCACGGGGCATCAGGAACTCATGGCCTTCTTCACTTGCTTGGTAATCATGACCCTGACACTGATTGATGGAAATTATTCTAAATTATGTTGAATTATTCCACCTCAAAATGTTCCAGACATTTACACTGCTGAGTTAAGACTTTAAACGCTTAACATTGGCTTGCCGAAGGGATAGGAGCAAAATGATTGTTTTGATCTGCAGTGTTCCGAGTTGAATCAGTCCACACAGAAGTTCCAAGTGTAAATGAAATGTACTTTTGAAAATGAAGCTGTCATCAATTTCGAGAGTGAACATAGGGGCAATTTTCAGAATCAAGATCATGATTATTTTGCCTGCCATTGAATTCTTTTGAATTGTACATTTTGTAATAAAAAAAAAAAATAATTGGTGCAGATTTTTGCAGTACCGTCAATCACCCACATTTGAGTCAGTGTTTTAAAGACCACACTAGAAAGCTGTCCTCTATTTTGAAAATGTAACAAAATGTTAGTACAATGTTTTTGTGCAAACGTTTTTTTTGGGGGGTGGGGGTGGGGCTTGGGAACATGGCATACTGTTTACTATATGTACGTATGTTTGTTTTGTTTTGTCTTGTTTTTTAGCAAGACTACCTGAGGTCAAAAGAGGAAGGAAGAGAGGATGCCACTCTACAGCTATTACTCAACCTCTCATCCCAGAGGGGTATCTGCTTCCCTTGTACCCCATCTTCATCCTTGTCTTTCGCTCAACATCATCTCCTTGCCACTCCCTTTCCCTTGTTACATACAATCAAAGATGACTCTTCATCTGAGGTAATATATTGTACTTTGTAAAATGATTCCTTGCCGATCATTAGTTGATTATACAATGCTCTATTTGTTAATTCAATGCCTGTATATTGAGAGACTAAAAGTCACATTCTTTGCCTTTTTTTTTTTTTTTTTAAGATCCAGGTAGCATGGGAAGATGTGCGTCTTCAGCTCCGCTGCTATCTGTTGGAGCGTCTGTCGACCGAAAGCCAAACGACTCGCGCAGTACCTTCCTTGTCCATCAATCAACGAGTCCACCGCCTGCAGCAGCTGTGCTTCTTGTACCCTGAGTGTGAAGTGCTCACTCATTACCAGGCAAGGGATTTTTTTTGGTGACCTTTGTTTTGGAGTCTTTAAAACATGAACATTTGTGTGCCTAACAAGTTTATGAAACAATACAGTCATTGTCTCCATGTAGAAAATACCTGTAATGTCTTTAAATGCATGCATGACTAAAACGGCAATGGTGAAACACAGAGCTGTGGGAGAACAGTCACTTCATGTGCATTTGCAAAGTGGTTCTTAACAAAAGTGACATGGCATTAATATTGTATGAATTTCAGTCAGACCAGATAGATGCGAACAGCTATCCTCTTGATGTTTTCATATGGAGTAATATTTAGAAGCATCATTAGATTTCCAATCTAAATGATACATATACGGACGGTAATGGACAGTTTTTTTTTTTGGCTTCATCCAACCAGGAAGTAAGAGGCCAAGCCATGCTTGCTCTCCTGCACTGCGCCATGTCCTCCAGTCCAGCTAATGTCACCGGCTTTGACAGAGTGACTGTGGCCTTTCGCTCGGTGGTCCCGGCTCTCACCCAGGCCCTCACAGAAGACCTCCACATCCTTCCGAGAGTAGTTGAGCAGGACGCCATCTTGGGCTTCCTAAATGCATCCTACCTCCGCCCTTTGGCTCGTGAATTGACCTCTCTGATGGAGAGAGAATGTGAGACAGCTTTGAGGGACAACACCATGCCCGGCAGCAAGATAAAAAGATACTCATCCAAGTCTCGTGCAACAGTCGGTAAGTACTTTTTTTACTAGTAGTTTATTTCGATGGGCTACACAGTTTGTACCATCATTGTTCACCTTTAAAGATTTCTTCTCGACATCTTCACTTTTCCATTACATTCCAGCTGCTGCGTGTGAGGCCTTGAGCCAAGATCCTTGAAAGTGATTGTCAGTAGCTTTTCCCATTGTAATTGCTTTCCGCCTTCTTGTTTGACTCAGACTCCTCTATTTACCAAGATAGAGAGCGGTGCAGCACCTCTAGGGTGAAGGCTCCTTCGACTCAAACTCCTCCTAAACACCTTTAATTCACGCTTAATCTTCAATGGAAAAGGACTGGGAAGATGACTGCAATGACTGTGAAGCAAAATCAAGTTAGACCATGACACTATGCCCGCAATTTCACTGCCTTTCGGCCAACTCGCAGTACACAAATGAGAAATTAAGCCCGAACCATCCTTCGACCTTCCAAGTGGTGTTATGAAGGCCTTACAGGACAGAAAGAGTGAGAGCAAAAAGTTGCTGCAATACTGTTGTGCACAGATTTTTGAGCGGTAGAAAATTCTGAATGTCAGTGTGATGGATGGCATTGACATCGATGTCATAGCCTGAGACTAGAGAAAAGTGTACTTTTGATACTTAATTCCCCTGCATATTCCCTTTGTTTGTTTCATATTGACTTATTTAGGACTTGCTGACGGTAAGGCTATGCCTTGAAAAGAGAAAAAAAAATCTAAAGCATGTGAGCCATTGTTTACTTTTTCAAAAATTGTGCACATGTCAGTTTCCCTGTGGAACAGCGCGAAAAGCGTCTTTACATCTGCCATTCTTGGATAAACACGCCGGCAGCCTTGCCTCGCCTTTTCCCTCTGTCTCTCTGTCTCTCCCTCTCTCTTTGGTTTTCGCCTTCCCCTCCGCTTAAACGTGAGATGAGAGGAGGCAGCCAAGATAATTGGCCATGCGTCAGTCGGCCTGTTTGATCACGTATCGTGGCGGAGGCTACACACCTACGTGCCGCTCAACAAACCGTCAAATGTAGCACCGGAGGCAGAACACGGCTCCAAAGGGAACGAGGGACTGGTGTTGTGCAGTTTTGCTTGTGCTCACTAGAGGTGTTGGTGTGTGTGTGTGTGTGTGTGTGTGTGTGTGTGTGTGTGTGTGTGTGTGTGTTTAACTATCAGCTGCAACACAGCTTTGAGGGCTACGGCTGGGATTACAGTTTGTGTAATCACCCTCCCCTTTCTTTTCCCTTCCCCAAAAAAAGCTTGAGAACACCCATGTTCGCCACCCAAATGCCCGTGGCTCTTATTGAGCCACAGTTTGAACAAGCAATGCATAATCTGCTTTCACACTTTACTGTCTATACTGTATGCTATTCCCATAATTGTCAAGAAAATTACGGCAACGACAACACAAACTGATTCTATTTTCATAAGCGTCCAATGACTCTTTAGATCTCACCGTCCTCCCCTGCTGCGTTATTGTTGGCTCCTGCAGTGGAGGCAGGCGCTTGGTATATTTTGATAAGAGCCATGCCTGGGAGACTCTGCAGGCTCCCAAGGGAGCGGCGTTGTCTGTAGCATCAGCCACTGTCAAACCACTGAACCATTTAACAGCATTCAACAGCAAGATCTGCCATCTCTTTTTTAACCCTCCTGCCTTAAAGGCAGGCGCTGACATTGTACCTAGACGGATATGAAGACGGGCTGCTCAGGCTTTAACGTTTACTAGCACACTTCCCTGAGTCTGCGTATGTCCTTTCGTGAGGAGAAAAACTGAAAAAAAAATTCCATATTCTTTGTTCCATATTAATGCTAAGTATGTGCACTTACAAATGAGAAAACGAAATGATGGTTTCTGTAAAATGGGACCACCAGAAAAGAAAACATTCAGACCTGACTAATCGGCGGCCTTGAAAAGGCTGGTGTCAAGCTCATACGAAGTACAGTACATGGAAGGAGAGTTAGGTTCGGTGCAAGAAACAACACAGACGTATGTGAAAGGGAATGGAGTGAGGTTCCCTAGTTGGGGAAAGTTAGCTTGTCAATAAATTTGCATCAGTGGAACTTGTGACTTTTGCCTTGTCCCATCAGGGGTCGTCATAGCGTGTCGACATATTTTTATCAACAATAATCGGGTGCATGAAGGAAAATTAATGATAAATTTAAAGTCTGTATTAGTCCACCCTCGAGCGGTGGGGTGCAAAGCTCACTAAACGTTGGGAGCGAAAAGCTGTTGCCGATGCCCCTAATGCGGTGATGTGGGCAGAATTTTTCTGAAGTTGGTTATATAGGTTGGACGTGGAGTTTATCCAGTCACCTTTGATCAAATGCGGCTTCTTGCTGTGTCGGCTTACTCAGAAAATTGCCTTATTGTGAACCATTTTATATCTGTTTAAAAAAAAAAATATATATATGAAGCATTCAATTTCCAATTGGCATTTCAGTATGCATGCATGGTTACATGAACATCAAACAGTTTCTGCGCAGCATCTTTGCATGCGCATATCTCAATTCTTCCCTCACAATAGTCCACTGGGGTGAGGGCAAACTTTTAAAATTCAGTTCAAACACTTTGCAGCACCATTCTGATAGAGCTGATTTGAATTCCACTTTCACTAATTTCCCCGTATGACGATGTTGGCAGCTCCCTATAGATTAAAAAAAAAATGAATTGAGTTTTGAACATGTACAAGGAGCACATTCCCCCCCAGCATATGCCCCCCCCCAACCCCCCCGCCTCACCCCCTGTCGCTCTTTGAACTCTTTCTTGGTGAAAGCGCAGCAGCCTATTCAGTGGGGAAAGAGGTTGTGTAGTGACGTGAGGAAGCTCGGCTGACTCGCTGCCTGGCAGTGGAGGTGCTTGTGGGGATTGAGGCTACTTGGGAATGGCGTTTGTTAATATTTAATAAGAGCAGCTCCTCACTAGATCATATCTCCGCCTGAGTTTATACACACTGTCAGCCGGGGACGTGCAATCGCATCCTGCCATGTAATTATGGGCGAGGAAAAGGGTGGCGGGGCAGCGGTGGTGGGGTTCTGAGCAATTTCTACATACACCTGAGCATGTATGCGTTGTGCTTTCGGTGTATTGATGTTTGTCTATCTTGGTAGAGTACAACAAGGCTGGTTTCAGTAAGTTGAGTGAACTCAAAGAAAAGTACCTTTCCCAACCTGTGGGGATCTGTATTATGGCTGCTATTTATTTTTGCTCTCCACCTGATCACAATGAGCCTTTGTGCGTCGCTTTTGAAAATGCTCAAGGATATGAGCACTTTCCTGTCACCTTCTATTGAGAGAGCAATGACAAAAATGACTAGCTTATCGAGAGTCGCCCGCACGTTGTGATAAGGAGTCTATCTGGTTCACAGAAGACTTGAAAATAATGCAAGCGAGGGCACGAAACAACTAGATATTAATGAAATGTTCCTGTAGCCAGAGTGTGCAAATCCTCTGCGTTGGGCGTGCAGGTTGCCTGGGTCAAGTAGAGTAGGAGGAGAAATTGACAATCCCATCACACCACAAAGAGAAACAAGGACAGACGTGATAAAAAAGTACATGTCATTCACATTCTTATTCCCCTGTCACTCCAACCCATTTCCACCTTTTCTTCGCACAACTTAATATAGATATCAAGGATTTCAACAACACGCTTCTGTGAAGGGCAGGTAGCTCCCTGCTGCGCCCTAGGTGGCCAGAGCCCCAAGGACGGACCACCGGGGCTTGGGTTGCCGTGTTTATTGTGTGTGTGCATATGTCAGCGTCCATATTTGGGAATCGCAGCAGGACGCCTCCCATAATAAGGCTGTCTGAGAGAGCAGTGGGCCGAAACTGACAAAAAGGGACCCCAGCTGTCACAGGGCCTCGCGGGCCAACCCACTGTGGCTCATAGGTGTGTTAACACACGCACGCACGCACGCACGCATGCACGCACGCACGCACGCACACACATTCATTCACAGGTGCACCCAAGGCACAGACAGTAATACTCCGCTTGACACCCTGTGATATGATTGCGCAAGGCTGGCTACTCAGAAGGACAAAACAAAGGTGCGAGAAGCCAAAGACGGGTACTGTAGCCAGTTTTAGCCTCCCAATATGGTTCATGTCAGAAAGGCTGCCTCGGGAGAGATCCCAACTAGAACAGCATGGACATATTACCAGACAAATGAAAAGATACCCCCCTCGACCCACCCAGTGCGTCCGCTACTTCACAGGGGCAACCAATACAACAAAACTAAGTGCAGGTCTGCTTACCTTTTGGTATTGTCCTCAGAGTAGGGCATTGCACCTACGGGGTGTATAGAGGTTTCTGCATGATAGTGTTTCAGACAGAGTAGTCACAGACAGACCAAAATTGATTTGGTTGTTTATTTTACACTTGATGTTTGATTCCCAATTATGGCGTTTGACTTGGAAGGTCGGACTTCATTTCGGTGACTCAATCAAATACGCTGTCATTTTTTTCTTGTCATATCAATTCATCCACTTTACTCTTTGCTTGGGTACAGTCCAGCTGGAATCTGGGAAGCAATTTACGTGATACGTAATGCACCTTGACCTTTTACTATGCATGATGGCATAAAATTCACTGGCCTTTTGAGCTTCTTCTACCTCATTGCATTACACTGTGGCTAAACGTGCGCCAGAAATCACCTGTAAAGTGCAGGCATCACACGCCCATTTGCCCAATAAAGCTAGTGGGCACTGTGGTGAGAAGGGGTCAGACCAAAGTCCCCGTGGTCCTATTTACACATCCAACAGGCAGAAAGAGAGAGAGAGCAAAAATGGGGAAGCGAGGGTGACATGCTATGCTGGAGAGAAATTAAATCAGTGGCCAAATTATTGCATGATTGCCCATTCCCCAAAGACTTGGGTATCATTTGGTAGAAAAGTGTCTCATAATTGGTTTTCGGCCATGTCAGACACATGCAATTCCCTTACTAATGGCTGTGTTAGGAAGAACTGGGCCTCCTGGGTCGGAGGAGGACAGAAAATAGCCAGATGGCAAAAAAGCGTACTAGCCTCCTTTACCCCCCTCAGATAAATGGGAGCGTATGAGAGAAAAGAGAGATGCAGGGAAGGAGAGAGACTCCAAGAAAGAGAGTGTGTTGTGAGCTAAGAGGAAATGAAGTGGCAATAAGTGCAGCCAAAGGGGAAATGCTCTTCATCGTGAGTTTAATACATCAGTCTGGGGATTTGGCAGCCCGCCACACAGCAATTGTTTACCTTTTTGCTCACTGGTTGCATCTGCTCTGTTTTGTAAACGGCATTAAACTATTCGCCCGTAAACACCGGAATCAATAACAACTGCTCAGGGAATTCCCTGTTTCCTCGCTTCTCTCCTTCCCTCACTTTCTGTTTCCCTCTCTCCCCACTCTCTCCCTTCTGTCTCTGCGCACTGCCAGTCAAGAGTTTGTGTGTGCATTATTTGTATGATGCAAAATTTGTGTGTGTGTGTGTGTGTGTGTGTGTGTGTGTGTGTGTGTGTGTGTGTGCGCGCGTGTGTGCTATGGAGCTAGCGGTGGAACCCACAGGAGAGGCAGACGGGTAAAAGACTGATGGCTCGCCAAAAATACCTGCTCAGTTTGTTTGTTTGTTTGTTCTGTTTGTGTTTCATTGTTGTCGCCGTTAAAAGCTACAAACTGAGACCGGACACACACAAACACACAAACACACACGCGCACATACTGAACTATTATATGTCAGCTTGTGTTGTGATATATAGAATAATATGGGGTAACATTGATTTTTATCTGGAATAACATCATCACATCTCTCTTATTTAAACATCTTTTTTTTTTTTGCCTGCTTTCAGTAACAGCCGTCCCTCATTGATTCTTGCTACACTGACCTTTGGCTGAACCCTTCTGCCTGCTCTGCCCTGAGTCATTTTGCTCCCTGGGACACGCTACTCACAATGCTGTATGATACACCTGGGTGCTTTTAAGCACACCCTCTCCATCACGCTGCTTTGAGAGCTTCCATTTGCCCTCACTGTTGTGACAAAGGTATAATGAGGTTTAGATGGCAGTGTACCAGACAGCTATGGCTATAGGGCTATTTGACTGGGCAGACAACAATAAATACTGATACAGCATGGGTAGCCGGTAGAGAGGTGCGGAAAGGGGCCCTGTTAAACATCAAGGTCATGGCCAAGTGGAGTATTATGTGTGTTGCTCAGGGAGGGTGCTTGAAAGCTGGGAACCAAACCATGAAAAGGTGATGACCGGCGTTGGATGAAGTGGTGGTTAAAAGGACGCTACGCTCTGATTAGTGGTCAGGCCAGGGAAGTCATTTCCGAGAACCCAGCCACTCGGTCTGCGACGTGTCCCTGCCTCATCCGTTTTGGATTGTTTTTACCGACGCTCCGAGGTGATGCGTTGGTGTCTTCACAAATAGACATGATTGCTGTTGCGTGCGTGAATGTGCGAGGTGGTGAGGCAAAGGCAAGCACGTGGGTGTCAGCCAGGTCACGCGTGTGCACATGCAGCATGCGCACATTGTCCCACCGGACCCCATTACAGAAGAGTTGGCAAGCAGCAGACTCGTGCAGTTTTGAGTTGCACATACACACCAATGCGGCTGCACACCAAATAATCATTCCAGTATTCACACGCAATTTTGTACATGCCTGCACACACACATGCACATAAATAGATGTGTACCCTTACAGTTGCAAACACCAATGAACTTGAGGTCAGGCTTTTTTTTCCCCATGGTGGCCACTGTCTGGTTCCAGTATGGCAATTATAATCCAAGAGTGACATGTGCAAATGTGTGCCAAAGTGTCCGCTCTAAATTAAGTTATTCAAAATGACCAGCTTTACATGCACATAAACACAGGGTGCCCCCAAACCCTCAGAACCCTCCCAAACATAATCTCATAATCACGCAGACATCACGAGCGGGTCAAACCTCAAACGTGATTATGAGACGAACCCCCGGGGACAGTGTGTTGTCATATTGTCAGATTTTAGTTAACAATATGGCAAAATTGCATTAGGATCCAGGGGCTACGATGTTACAATGACGCCCCCCCGTCCCTCTTCTCAATCATCACGACTTTGAGAGTCAAGGCTAATGCTGAGCTCATCCAGTCCCAGATGCCTTTGCAATGGAGCTCATTTAGGCAAACACAAAGTGTTTGTGCATGTGTCTGGGAGTATGGCAACACATCTCCCCGCCACCCATTCTCCCGCTTAATGCGGAACATCCCCCGGGTGATGTGTTTGGCAGCCTCCAAAATGGGAAATCCATATTTGCCAAAGGGGTCATTGTCGGGTTAGGGGGAAAAAAAAATTTTTGTACCAAGAGAGTTGGATGTGCAAGTGTGACTTGTAGGGGGTGCCGAGTTTTGCATATCGTCACTGTCTCTTTGTTTATGCGGTGCATTGGGAAAACATGAATGGGTCGATATTTATAAGAGGTGTCGTGCTAGGCAAGACTGCGGGTTGTGGGTGTTGTCTGATGAGCGCATGTCAGAAACCTACTTTCATGAAGCTGTTTATTCTTTACTGAACTGTAAACTTTAGCGCGGCTCTCAACTTCTCTGTATCTGTGTCAGTTGAACATCCACAGACACTTGGTTCTCTCCGCAGCGCCAATGGAGGTTCCCGTGAAAAGTAGAAGCTTCAGTTTGACCTCCCACCAGCTGAGGGCCTTAACCCAGCTGGCTTGCACACTGCTGGCCTATGAGAGCAACGTCAAAGAGATGGTCACCAACATGACCTTCATTAATTGTACAGGCGAGGCTCCCTGCGTAAAAGGTAATGTGCCATATCATTTATGATAATAAGTGCTACTCGTATGCATGCTTCAATATACGTCTGCATATTGCCAAAGGATATATGCGTTATATTTGATGCCAATTTTAGTTTTTTTTTGTTTTTTTTTTAATTCAGAAGTTAATCCTACAGTTTCCAAAGAATGTAGTCATAAAAGTCTCCATCCAGAAATTCCAAAATGTCTTCCTCATCTGTTAGCCTTATTGCGACGAGTTTAGAATTTACCTTATTGACACCTACGGGACTTGAGTGGAACGCTATCGAAATGTGATTTAGGCCTATTCCACCATAAGACTTTTTTATTTAAAGCCGAAAAGTTTAAAATGACTTTCCCTATTATTGACATTAAACTTGAAGGAAGGGGTCTGCCGGCTTTATTCATCAGCCTTGGCAGAGGTCTGGGATCTACCGAGTGCCATTCCGGCTGTCTAGAATTAATTTATTTTAGCTTGGAGTTTCCCCTTTATTATCCTTTCTCAGTCGAACTCTCAGAGCATAGAAATAACGGAGAGCTTTCCGGTGCACGCCATAATTTCCATAAAGGTTACATTTATAAAAACAAGACTTGCAGAAAGGCTCAATTTACTGAGAAGTAAACAGCCTTTAAAGGCCAGTTATCCAAGTCATTAATTCCAGGCAATCAAATGGCTTAATTACCAGAAATTCATTAAACGGGCTTAAAGGTCAAAAAGTGATGTGCTGGCTGCTTCCTCCTTCTTCTATTTCATGCACTCGTGTTCGCCTAAATTGCCTCGCCTGGGGTCTCACTCTTCGCCTACTGATTAGGATACTCTGGCCTTGATGTGCATGCTTTTTAATTGCAACCCAGCCCAACATCTTGTACTCTTGTCTCATGCCCCCCCCCCCCCCCACACACACACACACACACACATACTCACACACACATTCACATAACATCTCCTCCCGGAATTACCCCTTCCAGACTGTAGTTTATGCCATCTGGGTTGAATTCTAAACCCAGAAAATTAGGCTTGTAGCGGCATCACCATTAGCCTCTACCACCTGTTTCTTGCCCCCTCCTTTGAGCTATTCACCGATACTCTCTGGTTACCACGTCTCATTTTGACTAGTGGGCCAACAGTGGAGCATTGGAAATTACAGAATATGCAGTTGCTTTCAAGATACACCGTGGGAATAAGTCATAAGGATCATGCAGTACACAATTCCATACACAGTGTAGCAGTCTGACAGCACACAGCCTTCTTTAAATGCGACATTTGGTTCTCCAGTGACATATTCTTGGCATCATATGGACTCTGACAACTATCGATTTATCTCTCTGTCATTTATTTATTTTTTTTTTGTGTAGGCATCTTGAAAAAGGGTAAAGAGGAGTCAGACATGGCGAGATTAGGCAAGACATTTACAACACCAACTTTTCACACGTCGCAGGTGAGTTATTTTTTCCCTTCGAAGAACCTAAAAAGGTTCTCATTATTAGAACTATTCCGAAGGAGGAAGATGAAAGATTTGTCTGTTTTGCTGTTTTGAAGGTTCTGGACTTTGATTGGCGGTCGGCCTTTAGTGGGCTGGTTCCTCATATGGCTCACTGTGTCAAAGTGGTGCTGGATGATGTTTGTACTAAAAGTCTTCAGCAGGAGGAAGCCCTCCATTCTTCGGGTCACTACTCCCTCCTGATGGAAAATTTAAGTGGACATAGGAGCATCAATGATGGCGACATGAATGTTACTCAGAACAAATTTGATGCCTACCCAGAGAGAGACTCTCCTACCGTGGTAGCTAAGGTACACCTCAAAATTGGATACGCTTTTCCACTGCCTCTGTTGCCTCAGCACATCACACTCTACTCTCTATCGACACTTTTCCATTGATAAATCAGGTACTGCAAGGTCCAGTTAGACTATGCTTTGTCTTAGACTTGTGCTATTCACGAAAATGGGACCCAAATTGTTTGCTGTTAGCCAATGAATTCCTTTATAGCACATTATATTTCTTTGGGCTTTACTTAACTTGTATTCAGCTCACATTTTCATGTCCAGCCCTTGACTGTTGCGTTTATTCACACCTCTTGACAGTATTTGTGGCTCTCATTGCTTACGAGTGTCAAAATTTGCCTGTGTCTCGGACCTGTACAACATAATTACACGTAGGTCAACGTTTTAAAGATTAGACCATTTCAGCAGAAAGGTTATACGAGCATGCCTTTGCATTCAAACCACAGACAGGCAGCTCAGACCAGCCTGGTAGCAATGATATATTCTGTATAAACAGTATATATTGCTATCCAAGAACATGACTAAATAACCGTGAATAGTTAATAGTTAAACATTTAAAGGCTCAAACCTTAAGTGTCTTTTTTCATGTGAATGACCTTCAAGATTGGAATGATAAGAACATTCATGTTACCTTGGACAAGGATGCAAAAAGGACGCCAAAGCACGATTTAGGTTTCGAAAAAGGAAAGATATTTATTGAATAGTTTGACAACTGAGGCAAGAAAGTATCAACAAAGAAAAAAAAAATCACGGCAAAGCTGGAAGAAAACAATAGAACAAAAGTAACACCTGAGAATCTCAGCAAAGGTGGTGAAAATAAAAGTCGCGAGAAAAGAGCACAGCATTAACTGGAGGGAAAAAATGAACTTAGGAAGCCAAGAAACAAAAAGACCCTCACAATTACGACTAAATAAAAACAGACGTGATAATACAACCCCGACACATAGTTTATCTGCCAATGACCAGGCAGATCGGCTCGACAAATATCTGCAAGCGTCAAGCCGCCGGACTACACGGAAAGCACGAGCATGTCCAAATCCAAAAGGAAGCAGAGCTGCAGTTTTGTCTCAGCATGAGTTAAGAGCGTGAGCTTCTGATATCAGATACATACACACACACACACTCTCCAAAGAAGCAAAGTTGCTTCTTACTGGGGCTCGCTTTTCTCTACAGACTTTGGGCTTCTTTAGAACAGGCAGCTATTCATAATCTGTCTTGTCTTGACTTCCTTTTTAAACCGTGGCTCCCTGGAATTTGCTTGCCAAAGGCAATAGGAAGCACATTAGGTAATATTTAATTCCCTGCAATAAAAGAGAGTACTGCGCAATAGTTTAAAAAAAAAAAGAACGGAAATGTGCCTTCATTTGGCATAGGTAGTTAGCGCCACAGGACTGCAGCATTCAAACTAATGCTAATACCCCAGCAGAATTGTTTCACCCTAATCCCGGTGCTAAAGGAATAGCATTGTGTCAACCATAACAACGCTGTAACCATTTCCTCAATCATGCCATTACCTTTTCCTGATACAAGACCTATTTACTGTGGCTGAAACTTTATAGATTTTTATGTTGTACATTAATGACTGATTCATGTTGATTCATCTCAATGAAACATAGTGGAGTAAAGTGACATTTTTCCTTCGTGGCATTACTACTTTAATTTTTATTGAGGAGTGTTTGCTCCATTTCAGTAATATACTGTAAACCTGAATGAATAAGGGCTAAATAATATGTTCCTCCACATTTTATTTTTTTTTTTGCATGCACTTAAGTGTTTTGTAATGCCAGCCTGAAGAAGTCGAGTGTCACATCCTTAAATATGTGCGTTCGAGGTTCGATCTCTTCACTCAAGTGTCCTTCAGGAAGGTAGTGAAGATGTGTTTGGAAAGCGCTTTTAAATACACCCGAATCTCGCCCTGTAATATAAATGCGCCTTTTTCTTTGTCGCTTTCTCCTTGTTCCATTCATTTTGGCATAATTGTGTCTTTGCCTTCTCTTTCTCCTCAGTTTTGTGTTCCACTGGTTGAGGAGCTGGATGCCTTACTACCTCTGGCAGCTGCCTGCCGGGACAGCTCTCTGCTGGAGGTTCGATCCAGCTTTGTGGAGGCGTGTAGCCAGGGAGCGTTACGCGTGCTGGGCCGCTTAGAGCAGAGAGCCCTGGAAGTCCCGTCCTCTCTACCACTGAGGAACCTGCCTGTACTGTTGGCCACTTGCATTTACGTACTCCAACGATTGGAACGCTACAATGCACGGCTGAAGGACTCAACCTCTACTTTAGCCAAAGTGTAAGTAAAAGTTGTGTGTGTGTGTGTGTGTGTGTGTGTGTGTGTGTGTGTGTGTGTGTGTGTGCGTGTGCGTGCGTGCGTGCGTGCGTGCGTGCGTGCGTGCGTGCGTGTGTGTGTGTGTGTGTGTGAGTATTTAAAAAAAATACCTGGTGTACTGCACAGCTAAGTAATTAAATTCTCCGAGCCATTTTTTGAGGACATAATGTACTTGGTATTAATTAAGAAAACATTCCGTCATTCTTAGCTTGTGAATTCTCTGATGTGAGCATTTCTAGGACCGCACTAAAAAACAAACAAACAAAAAAAAAAAAATCCCAATCTGAGATGAATATCATGATTTTTTTTTTCCCCCTCAAATCAAAGCAGTTTCTTGTAAATAATCTACCGCAGGGGAGTTAGAAAACAAGACCATACAGTTAAGATTGAAACTAAAGGTGCGGAGTTTGAAAGAAAATGAAAATGACTGACAAGTGGTAATGACACCCATATTCTGTCTACATCTGGTGAGTTTTTATGCCCCATAATACCCCCTTAACCTCTGCCCTCCGCGTATCCCTCCAAAGGCATCACGGTTGCCCTCCGCGCTTCTGTTTTTTCACCTCTGTCCCTATCCACCCCTCCACCGACAGTTGGCCTGTTTCCCTTCTGGGTCGTAAAGTACTATTCCTCTCCTCACCAATCACTCCTCCGTCTCCAAGCTTCCTGCACCCCCTGTGAAACTCTCACCTCTTCCTGGAAAGTATCAAGGCAGGCAGATTTAAAGGAGACAATATGTCAGACTGAACTTTTACAATCAATCACGTGTGTTTTTGTGACCACTCAAGTGCTGCGGTTTCCAGGAGTGTCTTGCCCTCCTTTCTGCCCAGGCATCTTGGTCTGCTGCCTGTCCAGAAGTACCAGCAAGCCGTCGAGGCCTTAAAAGATCAACTGAGCAGCTATTGTATCCAGGTTTGTTCCACGTGTGTGCTTCAGGATGCGGAGAGCCACCACTGGGCTGACCCCAAGCCCTTTTATGAGGTAAAGTATGGTGAACTGAACTCAAGATTTTATTTTATTTTTTTATGATAGCCTATTATTTGTTTTGTTTAATGTGAATGCAAAATGGAAAACAATTGATGGACTCAATTTGATTTTTTGTGCTCATTGTTCTTCCTTTTGTGTTTACCGATGCCTGCTGTTTAGCATGCGTTTCCCAATTTTATATCAAGGTTGACTGCTAGACGTTCCAATATTTCTAGAGGTGAACCACTGTTCAAGAATACTACAAAAATAATAATAAATAAAAAGCTCAAGTCTCACTGTGCGATGTGCTAATCTGAAAAGTTAAACTCGTAAATGCTTGTACAGAAGATTCCAAATTGGACAACTTTCTATTTGAAAAGATGCTACAAATAAGCTTGATAAAATGGTAAAATATTTGATACCGAACTTGAAGTTCCTTGCACTGAAACAAAACAGAAAAATTCCCATCATGGCATTTTCTCTTCCCGATGTGGCTTTAATTTTAATTTTCTTATTTTTTTTTACTTGATGATTCCCATATACTTTTATTCATGTCAGCGCTAAAAGTACATTCTTCTGTACATTGCCATGTGACTCCGATTCTGCAGGATTTCAGGAACCCTCTGGAGCTTTCCTGCGTCTTCTTTTTTATTTTCCCGTTCATACCCAGCTCCCCTTTCTCACCGTACCTTCTACGATGAACTTGCTGAGAACATCTGTGGCTTCCATGCTACCCCAGGGGCTCCAGGGGTTCAGCTGTCTGAAGTCTGCAGTCTACAGTGGGATTGTCTGAAAAGTAGCAAAAGGGCCCCTGTGACTCCCCTACCTTCATGCCCTTAAACCAACCAATCGAAACCTCCCCTCTTTCCTTCTATCCGCCGCTATCGCCTCTTTGTTCCCGCCTGCTTCCCCGGGTCAACGGTGTCGGGCAGACCTGCTGTGCGCAGGTGTGCGCTTTTGTTCAAGCATGCCTGTGTATTTTTGCGCAGATGAGTGCGTGCGTGGGTGTGGAGGAGTCACATCTTACAATACGCGTTGCATTTTGGCGAATGTGCGCGCACGGCCTGTTTCTCAAGTGTGAAGATGAATGCATCACATTTCTCTCTCCGTGCCTTGGCTCTCTTCGTGCCTCTGCGCGTTACCTTTTTCCAACTTGCTTTCACACTCTTTTCTGTTGTCGTCGAAAAAGTTATTGACGCGTGGATGAGTGATTGGCAAGAATATTTGTAATGTGATATATAAGCAGCAACCCCGCCTACTGCACGGAGACAGCTGGGATCGACTCCAACATGCCCCGTGACTCTTGTGAGGATAAGCGGATCAGAAAATGGATGGATGGATAGAAATTAACAGCATATGTGTAAAGAAGAATACTGAAGAATACAAAAAAAAAAGGATAACTAAAGCCAAAATGCAAAACTTCATCAGAGAAAGAATTTTCTTCATCTACATGTACATCATAATTCTATCTCCAAACCTCACATATGCTCCTAACTTCTCTTGGATCCTGGCGTCTGGATTTGTTCTCTTGGGTCCACAGGCAAAGGGATAGCTGCTTAATCCCGGACATTGAGTCCAGTCACGCTCCCATCAAACACAGATCCCTAAATGACTTGCTCCGGGGAGAGAAAAAGAGAGAGAGAGAGAAGTAAAACATGAGATTGATGAAGTGAAGTGGGAAGAAAATGAGAAGGTTCTAACCTGAGGAAGTGGAGCAGTTTTGACAGTATGTCAGTGTGGGGCGCGGTGCGGAGAACAATGGCTTATTGTTGGACCCTAAAGATGAGGAGTCTCCTCTGCAGCCGTGATCTCATTCTTCTCTGAGAAGGTTTCAATTTCTCCCTTCACCTTTTTCACTGTGTGAGCATGATGCGTTCTCCAGTTCTGGACAAAAGTCCCAGTGGGAGAAGAAACCAGGTGCAGAGCACAGGTGGCCTGACCAACTGAGACCTTCTCTCTCCTCTCCCTTCCTTCTGCCTTCTTTCTCTCTTGCTTGTTCACCTCTCCTTATTTTAATCCCTTCTTGCTTATGTGCCACTGTCAGTGACCAGCTCACAATATATCTTCATCTCTTAACCTTTCTTTTTTTTTTCCTCCCACAGGGTGAGCGCTGTTCCTTCTCGGTGCAGATGTGGTTCTACTTCCTGTGTGGTCTCCGTAGTGATCTGTGGGCTGTTCTCCCGCCACAGTTGGCCAAAGAGTTGCTGGGCCAGGTGCTGTCGGACACGTTACAGGTGCTGGTGCAAAGATACGCCAGGGCCCAGCCATCCTATAAGAGACACCTGCAGATAAGGTCCGGTACCTTTAAGCACCGAATGGTCAGAAGTGTTATATGGGGTGTCCCAAAAGTAAGCGTGTACATTTCCTTTCGCCAATTGACCTTGAAACAGTGTTGCAATACTGCTGTAAATTTTCAGTCCCTGACTGCAGTTTGAGAAGCTAGATGACTTTGACCCGGCTATAATTTCTAGTACAATTTACGTTTTAGGCTGTTGAGCATCATAATCTTCCACTTGAAGCTTTTTAAGTATCTGAAGTTGGTACCGAGTGCGCTCATGTGGGTCAGCAAGTTCTGAGAAGCCTGATAATGATCCTGATCATTTGAATCCGGTGGGCTGGAAGAGGGAGACACCTAGAACATGCTGGATAGGGGCACTCAAGGACCGAAGTTGGACACCCCTGATTTATATCCATCACCTTTATTTCATTTCTATTTACACATACGTGACTAAATTCACTGTCTGCTTCCTTTCCACGTGTACAAGAAGTGACATCACAGCAGTGCTGCTCTTTGTGGAGCAGCTGATGTGGAGTGTGTGTGACAGTCCCGAGGCCTTGCTCCGCCGGGACCCTTCTTCGGCGATCACCATAATAGCGGGAGGATCCGACTGGCCCTACCAGATCCATAGCTTGTGTGAACAACTCCTGACAGTCCTCGTCATTGGCACGGCACCGCTAACTTTGCTATATAGGTTCGTAGGTTGCTTTAACGTTAGTTATTGGAATGGTCTTGTTCAAAATTAATGTTGGAATGCTCTCTTTTCAGAACATTTATGGACAATGATTCGCGGGAGTCAACGCTACACCAGTTGGACTGGCCTGTGGTACACTGGCTAAATGCTCTCGAACCAAAAGTCTACACACAACAAGCCATCCAGTATGTATTGAACGCAGTAGGATGTAGTGCAGTTCGACACCACTGCAAACGACTATGAAAATTCGCAACATATTCTTGAATTAATATTGTAAACCTCTGACGATGGCCATGAAAGAAAAAATGTTTCTATGGCAGTTCCAGGAGCATACATCCATATAAATACTCATAGTTTCACCTGCTGCTGCGCTGCACAAATTGGACAATGCGATCTGCAGAACAACCCGCGCCGCTTACACTGATTTGCTTCATGCTGATGCTTTATGAGGGCTTTCCATATCGGGCATCGACCATATACCGTGTTGTGTACGTGTGATCATACCTACACGTGTGTCGAGTTACTTGTGTGACCTCCAAGGTGCAGTCAATCACTCACCCCCTCACCCTTGACTCCCCCCCTCCCCTGTAATCTCCCTCACAGCCAGAAGTGATGTCATTCCGTGCTGATGGCACACAAATCACACTAACCCCCGCACTTTGGGCTCCAATGTACTGGCAAGCGGGAATTAGTTTGTTTTTATGACCCCTTTATTTCCTTGCTCCCACCTCTTTGCTTTGCGTGCGACGGCGCCAGAGGGGCTTGGTGGTGGCCCGAAGCCAGACCCACAACATAGTGACTCAGAGGCCAAATTACTTAGCCCATAAAATCAAATCCAATCAAAAATAAAACACTGTCATTATTATTACATTAAACAATAATAAAATCACAAAGTGCATGAATAAACCATTCAGGCTTACAGGCTTTAAACAAAGTACAGTGGAGTCTTAAGATACAAGTTTAAGTCATTCGTTGACCCCACTCGGAACTCAAAACACTTATTTCTCCAATCAATGGAAATTCCTTTAATCTTTCCACCCTCCCCATTAGAACCTAACAAAACATTCTGTTATGTTTTTTTGTGTGTGTGTGTGTGTGTGTGTGTGTGTGTGTGTGTGTGTGTGTGTGTGTGTGTGTGTGTGTGTGTGCATGCTATCATACTGTACTTTATTTGAAAAGAAAAATAACATTGCAGTAACATCATTAAATAGAATGGAAAGAATGACACAATTTATGCATCAAGATTCATTCATTGTGGCTCCATTGGGAATGTGCGATTTTGCCACTAGGAACAGTCATGCAGACACAACGCAGAGGACTTTGACAACTACTTTAAGTGATTCGATGATTGCAGTTTTAATAGTTGTTTAATTTTATAGAGGATAAAGAATATATGCATGTGAGTATCGATATGTCGTCTATTTACACGTGTTGCTGCGCAGTTTGGTTTCAAATATCTGTTGCTTGAAGTTTTGTAACGCCACCACGTCTAGCATACTGTGTGTGTGTGTGTGTGTGTGTGTGTGTGTGTGTGTGTGTGTGTGTGTGTGTGTGTGGGTGTGG